GTTCATTTCACTCATTCACTCCTTCATTTAATAAGCGTGTATGAGGCCTCTTCCGAGTACCAGACATTGGCATGCAAAATAAATAAGACTTGGTCCCCCGCCTTGTGGTTGCTTATAGAAAGGAAGACATGTCAACAAATAACTGTAATAAAATGTTCCGGTGCTAAGGTATAAGTAAGAAGAGGCCACAGAGGTTGCCTAGAAGGTCGGCCCCAGCCGGTTTGGCTCAGAAGTTAGCGTGTGGACCTGTGGACTGAAGGGTCTCGGATTCAGTTGGGGAGGCAACCGGTCAATGGCTCCCATCCATGTTTCTCTCCCTCCCTCCCTTCCACTCTCTCTAAAAATCAATGGGGGGTGGGGAGTGGATATCCTTGGGCACTTTTTTGTTGGTCAGTTTTTCCAAGAAAAGGGATATACTTCTTAGAACACACTTCTGAGGATAAATGTTCCCAGGTAGATTGTAGGAGAGGAGATGAAAGGATTTCCCTAGCTGACTGGTAAACATGGATCTGTCTTTCATCTCTGAGCCCTGTGTTGCCCATTGTGAAGTAATGTCCTCTGTGTGTGTGTGTGAAGTACTAAACATAGATCATAGCATTAAAGGTATTCAATACATGTTTCCTCTTCTTGATTCCCCTGTGGGGGCCATGTCTCTGGCCTCCCTGCCTTCTGCTTCCTTCTGCAGACCTATGCCAGGTTTACGGGTGCCCCACTCAAGGTGCACAAGATCTCCAACCCCTGGCGCAGCCCTTCAGGTACCCCGTGTTCCCGGGGGGGGGGGGCGGGGAAGGGTGTACAAAGGGAGAAGCAGGAGACAGACAGGAATGTGCTCCAAATACGGATGGGTAGGTAGCTAAGGGTCTGGAGGGCGTACTTCTTTCTCAACGTCAGGAACGCTGCCGGCCCTTCGGACCAGTCACGGAGAGGTCGTCTCAGCACCACACAAGATCATCACCCACCTTCGGAAAGAGGTAGGTGGCTGGCGAGGGGAACTGCTAGTGAGAAACGTTCAGTCAGTTCAGTGCAACACACATTTATTGAGGCCCAGGCATATGCCAGGCTAGATGCAGGGGACCCGAGCTTCAAGGAACAGTGTGATGGCGGGAAGGGGGGGGGCACACAGTGTTGGTATGATGCAGTAAGTAGGCCAGAGATTACGCTGGGGCACTTTGGGGCATCTGGAGGCACAGTGCCTTCTGCCTGCTGGACAGAGAGATGAACAGGCTGATGACACGAGGGCGGGAAAGGAGACTGGAAGAGAGCAGCTGGCTCAGGTGAGACCCTTGAAAGTGAGACCAGAGAGGGATTTCGAAGGGCCATCGCCCATTTTTCAGGGAGTAGGTCAGGCGGGATATGGAACTCGGCAGACAAGGGTTAGAGCCAGGTGGGAAGTTGGAAGAGTATTACAAGAATGGGGAGACCCAAGCCACGTTCCTCACTCTCTCCTGGACCGAGTGACCTGGGCACGTCGCTTAATGTGTCAGGGCCCAAGCTCCTTGTTTGTTTTTTACCTTCCTCGTTGAAAGGATTACATACGTCCTCTTTTTTCTCCCATTGACCCCTTATAGCCTGCCCTGCCCCAGGCCTCCACCACCCTATTGTCTGTATCCATGGGTTATGCATATACATACATGTTCTTTGGTTAATCTCTTCCCACATAACCCCTGCCTTTCCTCTGAGACTGGACAGTCTATTCCATGCTAAGCTCCTTGTTTGTAAAACCAGGAGGCTGAGCCAGGGTGCTTTCCAAGGGTTCTTTTAGTTTTCATGGTCTGATCAAAAAAAGGAACACACCCTAGCTGGTTTGGCTCAGTGGATAGAGAGTCAGCCTGCAGACTGAAAGGTACCAGGTTCAATTCCCGTCAAGGGCACATGCCCGGATTGTAGGTTCAATCCCCAGTGGTGGGCGTGCAGGAGGCAGCCGATCAGCGACTCTCTCATCATTGATGTTTCTCTCTTTCTCCCTCTCCCTTCCTCTCTGAGATCAATAAAAATATATCTTTAAAAAGGGGAGGGGAGGAATACTCTTCTCCATTTCTACTTTCCCAAATACTAAGGAGCTGAGGAATTAGTGGAGGCTTGAGAAGCATGTAGAGAGGGGATCCAGATAAAAGCCAGAGTTCCTGGCAGGCACTGGGCCACAGCCATGTTGCCTGATGTGTGAGCACACCTTTTCCAGTTCTCAGAGTTTTCTCATAATAGATAGCCACATTGAGAGAAAGAGATCAGTCCCCCCATTCCACAGAGAAGAAAGTAAGGCTCAGAGGGATTGAAGGATCATGCTCAGAGGGTTATTCGGGGACAGAGTTTACTCAAAAATGTGGAGGAGGTTGCTAAGCAACAGACACTGGAGCCTAGGAAGATGAGGCAGCCTGAGACCTGGGGGTCCGGTTGGAATGTGTGGTGGTGGTGGCGCCTGGGCCATGGAATGAAATAGAGGAAATAGCCAAGAGCCGGGCATTGAGAGAGGCAGCCAGGGGGCCCTGGGCCCACGGGTCCAGGAGCAGGAGGATGGCGTTCCCTCATTTTGAGGTGTGGATGGCGGCCCAGCCTGCCTCTGAGCTCACTCTGTTAGCTTTGCGGTGCCTGCACTGGAGGAGTTACTGTTAGAAAGTTGCTGTCAGCAGGCATGTTGCCACCTTTCCGTGGAAAGTCTGGGAGCTGCTCCTGGTTTGCGGCTGGGCCTCCTTTCCTTCCCCAATGGGCACGGGATCTTGACGGCCAGCAGGCTCCAAGGCCCAGGCTGTCCGCCAACAGAAACAGGCTCCTGGCTGTGCCCAGGCCCCGGGGCCTCAGCGGGAGGAACTCCTCACTCTCCGTCTGCTACGCTCAGAGGCCAGTGGTGGTGCCAGACAGGATGCTCCTGGCAAGGGCCCTGCGCTCCCCCAGCACCAGCTCATGGGGGGCATTTCCTCCTCAGAAGTACAATGCTGACTATGACCTGTCTGCCCGGCAAGGAGCCGACACCTTAGCCTTCATGTCTCTGCTGGAGGAGAAGCTGCTCCCGGTGCTGGTGAGTGTGCCCGGACCTCCCAGGGTGTGTGGCCAGCAGGGGAGGGCCGGGGACACGCACCCAGACCTCTCACCTCACCCCTCCAGCCTTGGAGCAGCCTGGGGATCAGCAGCCCACCCTGAGTCTGGCAGGGGCACTGGCTAGACCTACCCCGTCCTTCCTGTGTGCCCGTCCAGATCCATACGTTTTGGATAGACGCCAAGAACTATGTGGAGGTGACCCGGAAGTGGTACGCAGAGGCTATGCCCTTCCCCCTCAACTTCTTCCTGCCTGGCCGCATGCAGCGGCAGCACATAGAGAGGCTCCAGCTGCTGTGTGGGGAGCACAGGCCTGAGAACGAGGAGGAGCTGGAGAAGGAGGTACCTCTGGGGTAGGGTGCCTGTACGAGAGAAGCCCCATGGCTGATGGCAGGCATGGGACTGCCCAAGAGGGGAGGTGGCACAGCGCCCGCAGCCTCAGCTCCGTGTCCTCTCTGCAGCTGTACCAAGACGCTCGGGAATGCCTGACCCTCCTCTCCCAGCGCCTGGGCTCTCAGAAATTCTTCTTTGGAGACGCGTGAGTCTGACCGGGGGAGTAGGAGGTGGCTTGGGAGAAGAGGCTTGGGTGGGCTCAGCTTTGGACAAGAAGCCCTCGGGACAGACACTGGGGCTGGTGACAGCAGGGCTGGGAGTTGACTCAGTGGTACAGGAGGAGCCTGCAGGGCAGTGGGGCACTCAATGTGCCCTTTATGCAGCCCTGGGCTAGAGTCCCATTCCGGGCCAGGCTGGCGCCACCTAGGGGCCGTCATCATACGAGACCCAGAAAGGTGTGTCCTCTCCTACCCAGAGCCACCTCTCCCTCTGACTCCATCTCTGCCCCGTCTGCCAAAGCCATCCTCCTCCATCTCACCCCTCTCTCTCTGCCTCAGCCCTGCCTCCCTGGACGCCTTTGTCTTTAGCCACCTGGTCCTGCTGCTGCAGGTGAAGCTGCCCAGCGGGAAGCTGCAGGCCCACCTTCGGGGGCTGCACAACCTCTGTGCCTACTGCACCCACATCCTCAGCCTCTACTTCCCCTGGGACGGAGGTAAGGGGCAGATGGAGGCGGGTGGTTGTGGCTCTGGGGAGAGTGGGCAGGGGTCAGGGAGCGAGCCTCCCTGCCCACCTTCCTTCCTTCCCCTGCAGCTGAGGTGCTACCTCCACGCCAGACACCGGTGGGCCCAGAGACGGAGGAGGAGCCGTACCGGCGCCGGACCCAGGTCCTGTCCGTGCTGGTGGGGCTGGCAGCCATGGTGGGCTACGCCTTGCTCAGTGGCATTGTCTCTATCCAGCGGGCAACACCTGCCCGGACCCCCGGCCCGGGGGCCCTGAGCATGGCTGAGGAAGAGGAGGAGGAATGATTTGTCCTCATGCTCCCAGGACTGACTTTTCTACTCTCATGCATTCCAAGGTCCCTGTGTCTCCCCGTTGTCAGTGCAGCCAGTAATGGGGTGTCCCCCTGAAAATAAACCTGCTCACATTTGCTGGGATCAGACATTCTGTCCTGTCAGGGCCATCTGGGTCCTTGGCTTCTGAGCTGCTTGGCCCTGATGCTGACTTTGCTCCCGCAGGGACCCAGGTCTGCATCTCCAGGAAAGACAAACAGTCCTCAGCTCTGGGTCCAGCCTTCCTAGTCTCTTCCTTTTCTTGCCCCCCCCCATCTGTGTTTGTACAGACAGTGAGCTCACCCTGGGCCTGGGCCCAGTTTCCACCAGCAACCAGCACGGAGAACACACACAAGCTTGGGGGGAGGGGGGGGCGCCACTGGGGCTTCCCAATTCTTTCCTGAGGGGCCTCCAGCCCCTGGCACCAGCTAGAGGGAGAGTGAGTTACCCAAACCACTGCTCCTGGGCTTACGTCACTTACACTCACCCAGGCCCTGCTGTACCCTGCTAGCCACAGACAGCATGTGACTGACTCGGTCCCTTTAATGCCCATGTGGAGCCCAAGCCTCTGCCTGGGTGTCTTCTCCGTCACTGGCGACGCCACAGATAGGTGTGAATGGAGTAGGCCGGTGAGACGGTCTCCAAGAAGCCCACAGCAGGATCCTTGATGGAGAGAGGCACATCCTTGGAGGAGCTGGGGAGGGAGGAGGAGAGCCGAGGTATGATCCTGCCAAACCCACCGCCTGCCCTCAGCCCAGTGCCCGGGCCAGCTGCTGCTCTCACCGGTTCAGCACCACCACAACTGCAGAGCCGTCGGGGCGCGTCACTGCCACCGTTTCCAAGTCGGTCTCCTCACTAGCAACCAGCCCCACTCTCTGGGAGCCCTCAGGAATGAACTTGCTGAAGAGGGAACAGGCAGCGTCAGGGACCCCCGCCCAGCCCCTCTGACCCTGAAGGAAGTGCCCAGCAACGCGTAACCCAAGAATTCAACCCCCCCCACACACACACACACATCCCTTGCTAAGGCTCTGCCCCAATTCTCCGGTCTTGAGCCATGCTGCTGGCATGCCCTCCTTCCTGCCTCCCAGCTCCAGCATCGGCAGCCTGTCTGATGCTGTCAAGTCACTTCCTGCCCAGATGGTGCAAGAGGGAGAGGTGTGCCTCTCACAAGGGTCCCACCCTACACACCTTCCTGCTGCTCGTGTGGGTGATGTAAGCCAGGACAGGAAATACTGGGCCTGCTGTGGATTGGGGGGGCCTGCCCCCCCCCCCTCACCTGAAGTGGCCGAGGTGGTAGTACATGGGCTGTTTGTAGAACGTGTCCTTGGCGATGTCCACGATGATGGGACTGTCCACAAAGTTGCGCACCCAGTTGGGTCCCCCTTCAGGGTTCAGGGCGAGGTTCCAGTCAGTCCAGCCGACCACGTGGTAGAGGAGGTTCTAGGGCAGGAACAGGGCGGAGACAAAGGCTGGACCCGGGGTCCCAGGTAATGCAGTGAATGCGGTGGGTGGGCTCCGTGAGAGGGGCTCTGTGGCCTGACATTAAGAGGGAGCCTGAGGAGGAAGACGTCACAAGAGAAGCTAGGAAAGCAGGAAGCTCTAACTGCTCAAGGCCCAAGCATCTGGAAGGAGGGTGATGGGGTGGACAGATCTGAAGGGATCATGAGGTCCCTAGCGGTGCCCCCAGGAGAAAGCCAGCTGGGGGAAGTCGGAGCGGAGGCGAGTCTGGTGAGAGCGGAAGGGGCCGGGGCTGCTTGGTGAGGGGGGACAGTGCTCACCGTGATGACGCTGTGGCTGTACTGCACCCCTCGGTCCCAGGAGCCCAGCCGCACACTCTGCTCCCAGAACTTGGAGCCCACGCAGGCCTCCGAGGCAAAGAGCATGGTGTCCGGGAACAGGCGGTGCGTCTCCCCCAGGGTGGCCTTTGCTGGAGCCAGAAAGTCCAGGTACCAGTGAACGGCGATGCCGTGAACATACTTAGCTGCCTCTGGGTCTGCCAGCACCTGCACAGGGAAGGGGGATCCTGGGGAAAGGAGGCCACTGAACCTGGCCCTGCGTGTTCGGAGGGCTCTGGGAGACACCAGGGGACCAGAGAAATGGACCATGGGATGAACACAACTAGAGGGGGTTGCAGTAACATCCATGGGGTCCTGGGGATCCAAAAGGGGGGCTACCACCCCAGCACTCCAGGGGTATACCACCTGGGCACCTGGCTCCAGCCCAGGTGCTCTAAGAATCAGGAGTTGGGGCAGGCCTGGCCAGCATGGCTCAGTGGTTGAGGGTCAAATTATGAAGCAGGAGGTCACGGTTCTATTCCCGGCCAGGGCACATGCCCGGATTTCGGGCTCCATCCCCCGTGTGGGGCCTGCAGGAGGCAGCCAATCAATGATTCTCTCTCACCACTGATGTTCTTTCTCTGTCTCTTCCTCTCTGGAATCAGTAAAAGTATCTTTAAGGAAAGACTTGGGGCGGGGAAGGTTCTCTGTTTGAGAGCCAGTCACTGGATCCTGGATTTAAGGGTCACGGGTACCCATGGAGGTCCTGGGCCTTACCACCTCGGCCCAGTGGGGCAACAGCAAGCGCTGGTCGTCCAGCATGAGCAGACGGACGTCTCGGTGAGCGCTGTTGGCCAGGGTGGGGCCCAGGTCCCGGGCGATGAAGTCTCGCTGGTGTTCAGGGGTGAAGCCCAGGCACTGGAAGGGGTACCCGCTAAAGAGCCCTGCCGTGGGCTCGTTCTCAGCTGTCACTGCCCAGAACTGTAACTTGTGCTCTGCGTAGGCATCCAGGAACCTGGCAGAGGGAGCGTATGTGTGACTATGACCAAGAAAGGAGACCAAGATGCTGAAACCAGTTTGGCTCAGTGGATAGAGCGTCGGCCTGTGGACTGAAGGGTCTCGGGTTCGATTCCAGTCAAGGGCATGTACCTTGGTTGCGGGCACGTCCCCAGTGGGGGTGTGTGTGTGTGTGTGCGCGCAAGAGGCAGCTGGTCAATGATTCTCTCTCATCGATGTTTCTAACTCTCTATCCCTCTCTCTCTGTCTGTAAGAAATCAATAAAATATATATATTTTTTAAAATCAATAAAATATTTCCCAAAGAAAGAAAGAGAAAGGAGACCAAGAACCTGAGGACCAGGAGGCTGATGAGGTGGGAAAAACTGGGGGCCCAGGTCAGAAAGGCCCAGAAGATGGGAAGGTGGGGTGAAGAGAGTCCTCTGTAGGTGAAACCAGGTAGGGACATAGACCGGGCTGCTCCCTTACTTGACAAAATATCTGGCCCACGTCTGGTGGTAGTGGTCCCCCGGCTGACCCTTGAGTGACCCCCTCCCGTTCACTTTCCCATTGGTCTTGAGCCACGTGGGTGATGTCCAAGGACTGGCGAAGAGCGAGACAGGGCGCGGGGACATCTCGAGGGCTTGGTGGATCAGGGGTATCTAGAAACAAAGACAGTGAGGAGAGCAACAACCAGAGTTAGAACAGACTGGCCCAACCAGTGCATCAGGCCTAGCCATTAGCCCCCGCCCTCCCAGCCCCAGACGGAGCAGAGAGAATAGGGGCCAGGTTCTGTCTCTCTGTATTTCTCGAGCCTGAAGCTTTTCAGATCCCAGGCAGCAAAGCTACCAGGGCCTGGGGAAGCCAGGGTGTCCACCTTGAGCTTGACATCTTCCTCTGGGAGGCTGAAGTTGTGCAACTGGAAGTCGTCAGGGGTGTCGGCATAGGTGTAGATGCGGATGGAGAAGTCACAACTGGCCATGGGTACCCGGATGATGTTGTATTCAATTCCTGCAGCAAAAGACCAGGATCTGGGAGTCTGAGTCAATAGAAGCAGGTAGGACCTGGCCTATCACTTGCCAGTCCTAAAGCAGGTCTGGGCTCCAGGTGCAGGCCAGTGGAGCCAGGCACCTGGGTGAAACACAGGCCTGGGCCTGAGAATCCCCAAGCACTCCATGGAAGACGGGTAGCACAATATTGTTTATTTGGCCAAATGTCAGGGATGGATGGAAGTCAGGGTCAAAGGAAATGTCAAGGTCAGTTGCACCGTCATCTTGCCCCCCTCCTCCTCACCTTCTTCAGAGAAGTATGATTTGAGTAGCAATTTCTGGGCGGGGGGTGATAAGGCAAGGATGTTGAGAGCAGAAGCATCCGTCATGGCCCCTCCAAATCCCTTTATTTTCTGGAACTTCTGCTCTGGCTGCAGGGTCAGTAACAGCCCTGAGAACACACGCAGGGAATCAGGGTGTCAGTGCACAGGGAGAAACCCCAGGGGGACCCCAGCCTGGCTTAGGGTGGAAGGGGTTACCTGTGCCTGTCTGATTGGCCCGGATGGTCCCCAGACTCAGCTCCATTCGGCGCCCGCTACGTGTGCTCTCGTAGCGTGTGAAGGTGCCAGGGGCAGGCAGGGTCAGGGGGTCCAGAGAGTCACAGTACGTGGCATTGCAGACACAGACCACCGAGCTGTAGCCAAAGCTTTTGGGGATGCAGGGGCGGGCACCTGGGAGGGAGAGAGAGGCAAGGGCTGAAGGATGACGCTGGGAGAAGCCACACTGTTCAGGAGAGACTGAACATCGGTTCCTAGAACCCTCTCGCACCCTGGCCGGCATGGCTCAACAGTTAGAGCACTGGCCCCTGCATGAGAGAGCCTCAGGTTCAACTCCTGGTCAAGGGCACATACCTGGGTTACGGGTTCGATCCCTGACCCAAGTTGGGATGCAAAAGGAAGGCCACCAATCAACCCATTTATGTGTTTCACACAGATGTTTCTCTTTCTCCCTCCCTCTCTCTCTAAAAAATAAATTAAATAATTAAATAAAAAAATAAAAATCAATGGGAAAAATAATCCTTGGGTGAGGATTAAAATCCCCTTGCTGTGTCTCCACTCAAAAGCATTAGTTTATCTACTGATGCTCCACCACCAGTTTGTCAGAAAATTACCTAATAAGAGTGTTGGGGCCACCTCCCTCCTCCTTGATTTACTCACCTGATGCCCAAGAAACTGCCTGAAGGAGAAGCAATCCCGTGAGTCCGGCAGCCATGATGCCCACCCTGCCCAGGGCCTTGGGACATTCCTGAGGACAGAATGAAGAGTGGCTGGAAGGCAAGCCCCTCTCCACCCCTCAGCTACTCTCCAGGGCGGTGCTCAGCTACCCATGGGCACCCTCAGACTAGCCTCCCGCCTCCAAGAGGGATGGAATAGGCCCTCTGCCGGTGCCAGCCTTCCCTCCAAGCCCTGCTAGTGAGTCTCTGCCAGCCCCGACCAGGACCCTCCTCCTCCCCTCTTTCCTCCCATCTCTCCCTCGTCCTGTCCCTCCATAGAAATGCCACGATGGCCTGAGTTCGAGGAGAGTCTCATTCATTGAATTCCTGAACCCGATGGTCAGGATTCCAGAAGCAGGCAAGATCACTTGGGAGCCCTGGCCCACTCACCTCTCTGGAAGGACTTGCAGGCTCCATCGCGGGGTGAGAAGCCTGCAGGGTTCACGGCCTCGGAGGGACAGGAGTCCACTAAATAAAAGCGGAGCTCCCGGTACTTGGTTAACTACAGACCCGGGATTAGCCTTGGGGATTAATTCCGGCATCATGGAGTGGATGGGTCATGTGATGGCGATGGGAGAGTCACATGACACCGGAAGTGAGGCAACTTCGACCATACTTGTAAAGGGCGGCCGGTTTCCTCCAGGTTGCTGGTGATTACACACCGTGATGTTCTAGAAGGCATGTGTGGATGACAGCTTAGGAAAGAATCTAAATCAAAAACCTGCGAGGACTGGGCAGAGGCTCCAGAATCCAGGAGGATGGGAACCATAGTCACATTGCTTTCTTGAGAAAAAATGTTAAAGGGATGCTAATAAAGTTGATACTAATGCAAGAGTGGACAGGTCCACTGGCCGCGATACTGAGAGATGGTGAAAGCAGCCTTTGTCCTCAGAGGCTGGGGAGCAGGGCGTCAGACACTCACACAGATAGTTACACATGAAGACAAACCAGTGACGAGGTGAGGAGCTATCCTGGAAGGCTTCCGGAGGAGAAAGGGCAGGGATCACTAACCGGAGGAGAGCAGGAGGGAGGGCAGAGGAGGCATGACTGAGGGAAGGAGTCCCCCACACGCCTGGCTGCACCCACAGGCGCGGCTTTTCCTTCCTCACAGGGCAGGGGGGCTGTGTCACGTAGTTCAGAAACTGGAAAGTGCTGTACAGGCTCCGTCCTTCGTGGACATGAGAAGGGGATTATCTGTGATGCTGCAACCACATCGCCCTGGACCTCAGTGATGTAGGTCAGGTCACACGCACACAATTATGACCTGACAAACGCCAGCCCCCGAGCCTGTTTCCTAACTAAAGCGGAGGCCCCACACCATCGCTCAGGGCCATGACTGGAATCAGCGAAACAAGCCTGTGCCTCGCGCATGGGAGATGCTCACTAACCGCTTGTTTACGGTGTCTTTTTATTTTTAAAAAATATATTTTATTGATTTTTCACAGAGAGTCAGGGAGAGAGACAGAGAATCAGAAACATCGATGAGAGAGAAACATCAGCTGCCTCCTGCACACTCCCTACTGGGGATGTGCCCGCAACGAAGGTACATGCCCTTGTCTGGAATTGAACCTTGGACCCTTCAGTCCTCAGACCGACTCTCTATCCACTGAGTCAAACCTGTCAGAGCTGCTGAAACCAGTTTTGCTCAATGGATAGAGTGTCTGTCTGCAGACTGAAAGATCCCAGGTTCGATTCTGGTCAAGGGTATGTACCTTGGTTGCGGGCACATCCCGGGTGGGGGGTGTGCAGGAGGCAGCTGGTCCATGTTTCTCATCTATCTTTCTAGAAACATCATTGATGTTTCTATCTCTCTATCTCTCTCCCTTCCTCTCTGTAAAAAAAATCAATAAAATATATACTTTTTAAAAAACCTGTCAGAGCTGCTGTGCCTTTGAAAATGACCTCAGTGAAGTCTTTCCAGACGCACCAGGCAACACGGGTCTTTTCTTGTCCTGGGTCCTATAGCACTTGAGCCCAGTTTCAGTGAGACCAGCTGGTGTGAAACCTGGCTCCACCATTTACTGGCTGGAGTGTTTGATCTTCAATAATGACATGAGCCTCTGTTTCTCATCTATAAAAGGGGAGCGACAGCTCCTACCTCATAAAAGGGTTGTGATGTTTCAGTACCATAATGCATGTGCACAGTACGCTGCTGGGCACCAAGAATTGTAATAAGTTAAGTCCTTAGAGGGGTCAGTAAGGGAATGTCTTACTCATCCCTTTACTGACACAGGTTGGGTACATGCCAAGTTGTTGAACCAAAATGAACCATCATCACGATGTCATTATTTGCCCCATCCAGACTTCCTGTTTTTCCAGGAAATGTTGTGTAGGGCTCATTCTTGAGAAGAAGACAGGTGGTACCTGAACCTTTCTTCCTTCCAGTTCATTCATTCCACAAACATTTGTCACACAGACTATATTGGCGCCGGTCTGCTCCCTCGCTTCACTGTGTAGTCACAGTGCTTAGGAGGCTTTTATTTCTTCTTTTTATCCTTCAGTTTAAAAATCTTCCAGAGTTGATACCACCTTATTTATTTTTTATACCACCTTATTTTTTTCTTAATTTTATTGAGAGGGAGAGAAATAGATGTAGGAGCAACAAGACATGACACATGGGTTGGTTGGTTGCCTCCCAAACCTGCCCCAGTCAGGGCCAGGATTTGAACCTGCAACCTAGGTCCCTGCCCTTGACTGGAAATCAAACCTGGGACGCTTCAGGTGCAAAGGCTGATGCACTAAGCCCTGAGCCACACTGGCCAAGGCTTCCCTTGGACTTTTATATTTATACTAGAGGCCCAGTGCATGAATTCACCCCAATGGGGGCCGATAGGGGCTGGGCGGACACAGGAAGTTGGCTGGCCCGCTGTTGGGGGGATAATGGGGAGGTGATCCGGGGCCGATCATGGGTGGGGCTGGCCAGGAGGAGGGGCCTCAGGAGGTTGGAAGGGGGCCATTTGGGGCCCCGAATGGGCCAGTTGGCCACGGCAGTGCATGTCATAGCAAGTGGTCATCCCAGTCACTTGGCTTTTATATATGTAGATATTTTTAATATAGTTTATTGATATTTTAACAGAGAGGAAGGGAAAGGGATAGAAAGTTAGAAACATTAATGAGAGAGAAACATCATTCAGCTATCTCCTGCACAACCCCACTAGGGATGTGGGCCAGGGCCGAAGTCATCGCCAGGAACGTGGACTGAGGCTCTGCTTCCACACTGAGCCACTCTAACACAGGTGGAGAACTGGGGCTGGCTGTGGCGGGAGGCCAGGTTCCTCACACGTGGACTTTTCTCTCTCTCTCTCTCTCTCTCTCTCTCTCTCTCTCTATATATATATATATATATATATATATATACTATTTTTTATTGATTTTTTAAAACATATTTTATTGATTTTTTACAGAGAGGAAGAGAGAGGGATAGAGAGTTAGAAACATCCATGAGAGAGAATCATCAATCAGCTGCCTCTTGCACACCCCCTACTGGGGATGTGCCCGCAATCAAGGTACATGCCCTTGACCGGAATCGAACCCGGGATCTTTCAGTCCGCAAGCCGACGCTCTATCCACCGAGCCAAACCGGTTTCGGCTCTCATCGATATTTCTAACTCTCTATCCCTCTATCTTCCTCTCTGTAAAAAAATCAATAAAATATATAAAAAATATTATGTTAAATGAAAGAAGCCAGACACAGATCACATATTGTACGATTCTATTAATATGAAATTTTAGAATAGGTGAAGCTATAGAGACAGAAAATAGATTAGTAGGGAGATTTGGGGGAGATAATAGATCAACCAAAGGACTTGTATACATGCATATAAGTACAACCAATGGACATAAAACTCTGGGAAGGGAGGGTATGTATGGGAGGGAGGGGGGCAAAAAAAATCAATAAAATATATTTTTAAAAATTATAATAAATAAATAAAAATAAATAAAAAAATAGATTAGTAACTGCCTGGAACTGTAGTGGGAACAGAGATTAGCTGTTGCACAACTTAGTAAATTTACTAAAAATCATTGAACTGTACACTGAAAAGGAGAGAATTTTATAGTATATAAATTATACCTCAATTAAGCTATCAAAATTTTATTATATAATTGCAGTCAGTTCATTGCTTTTTTAGGAACTGTCCTACTGCACAGAAATTCTTTTCAAATAAATATATTACATAGTTGGAAATTATTTTATTTAAACTTCCTTCTCTACAATTTTCTCTGTTATTATGTAACACAGTCCTGCTGACTTGCTTTTTATTTTACATTTGCATACGTTGTTGAGTGGAAATTTCCAAAGTCGTAGAATGAGAGAACTCTTTTTTGTGAATATGGAATGTCTACCTTCCTGCCCTCCATCCATGCAATCCTCCAAGTGCCTCCAGAGGGAACAACACAGACTGAGGAGCAAGAACAGACCCAGAGATAAGGAGCCATGGGTCAGACTGTCAGACCTCAGGAAGGGTGGGGATAAAAGGGAGAGATCTACCAAAGGACTTATGTGCATACATTTGAGCCTAACCAGTGGTCAAAGACAATAGGGGGGTGGGGCACGAGTGGGGAGGGGTGGGGGATTGGAATGGGGGGTTGAGGACAAATATGTGATACCTTAATCAATAAAGAAATTTTTTAAAATATATTTTATTGATTTTGTACAGAGAGGAAGGGAGAGAGATAGAGAGTTAGAAACATCGATGAGAGAGAGTCATCGATCAGCTGCCTCTTGCACACCCCCTACCGGGGATATGCCCGCAACCAAGGTACATGCCCTTGACCGGAATCGAACCCAGGACCCTTCAGTACCCAAGCCGACGCTCTATCCATTGAGCCAAACCAGTCCTGGCAATAAAGAAATTTTTTTTTAAAAAAGTGCCTCCAGGGTCTCCCCTAAAGACACAAGTTTCCAAAATGTCCCCTAGGGGGCGACTGAGAACCACTCCCTTAGGGAGTCACCTCCAACACCTAGGCCTCGCTGCACTGGCCACTAGGGGCGTGTTAGGTGGCACGTATGTATTCCTGGTCCTGTTGCACACTTTTAAAAGACTTTGCTAAACACCAAGGGAGGACAACTGGGAAATGTAAGCAAAAGCAGAAGTACAAAAATAGTCTGGCTGACGCAGCAGCAGACTTCTGATCCCACTGCTGCTAGCCCTCTGCAGGGCTGTCGGCTCGGCTCGGATAGCAAACGCCTGCCCTGGAGACTGGCAAGTATCACGACACAGGCTCCTTGCTCTCCAGGCCTCAGACCAAGCCCCCAAGGAGGTCGCCCCTCCCAGTCCCACTGCTATACCCACGGTCAAGTCAGAGAGAGGCACTTTCTCGTTCCATACGCAGCGGAGAGTAGGTGCTCAAGAAATACCAGACGAAAGAATGAATAAACCTTATCAATCACCTTTAGAACCTGTCCTTTCAGCTCTGGTTTCCGATCTGAAGATATGACGCTCCTCCTTATTACTGACACCAAAAAGGACTTCTTTCTTCAGCGAGACTAGCCCCCTTCTGTCCCTCACGAGAGTTACCGCTCTCCCTCTTCAAATCCTTTAATGGCACCACACTACCTTGGAGAGGCTTACAGGATCTGTGTTCCACTCTCATTTCTCACCTCTCCAACCCCTTTCCCGATATTGCCTCTATTTCCCTCCCTGCCATAGTACTTTCTTCTGTTCTCTTGAAGAAAAGGAATAATTCTTTTTTAATCATTAAGGCCTCAGCCTTCATATCCCTGCCTTCAGTACCATTTTCCTGATACCCCCTGCTGGGTTAGACACCCTTGCTAAGTGCTCCCCAATTCACACATCCAACAAATAATAATTGGGCATCTACTATATGCCAGGCGCTGTTCTAAATCCTGGGGATACAATAAATAAGATGCTAAAGTTCCTGTCCTAGTGGCTGGTAGATAAAAAAAGAGAGAGATAATTTCACACGGTCATGAGAACTATGAAGGAAAATAAAGGGTAGGGAGTGCTGGATAGAGCCAGTGATGGGGATAATTATAAGAAGTGAGTTTAGCCAAAACCAGTTTGGCTCAGTGGATAGAGCATCAGCCTTCGGACCAAAAGGTCCTGGGTTCGATTCCGGTCAGAGGCATGTACCTTGGTCGCGGGCGTATCCCCAGTGGTGGGTGTGCAGGAGGCAGCTGATCGATGTTTCTCTCTCATCGATGTTTCTAACACTCTATCCCTCTCCCTTCCTGTGAAAAATCAATAAAATATATTTTTTTAAAAAAGGAGTTTAGAAAGTGTGGAGCCAGACTCTGTAAGCCTTGGTGGCCACAGTAAGGAGACTGAATTTTGTTCTAAGATGGAAATTCACTGGAGAGTTTGGTGCAGGGAAGTGAAAGGAGCAGATGTATATTTTTAAGATCATTTTGGCTGCTGGGTAGAACTCGATGGTGGGGGAAGATGCCAAGACAGGGAGACTAGCTGCCACCTACAGCCTGCCCGGACTTGTCCCTCCTTCTGCCTCTGTTGTCCCTCAGGGTCCTCGAAAAGGCTCTTCTTCAGCGCATACCCCTTCCCCTCCACACAGCCCGGTTAACGCCTGGTCGTCTTTCATAGGGCACCTGCGATGTTGTTTCCTCCAAAATGTCTCTCCCTCCACACACAGCCCTCCTGGAACACACATTGATAGCCCTTACGTCTCCTTTGTAGCTCTTATCCCAATTAACTGTCCAGTGGCTTAACGTCCGTTAGTGTCCAGTGGCTGCTAAGTCCTTGGCCGGCTGATAGATTGGCGGGTAAGCCCAGTAGGATAGGGATGAGTCTGTCCAAGCTCCCTTCCTAGGCCCATGGCCATACCCGGCCATACCCTAATGTGTAGCATAGCCCAGGGCACTAATCCGGTGCTCAGTAAATGTTTGTGGAATGACTGAAGAACAGGATAACAGATAAATTACACAGACCTTATACCCACTCCACCCCTCAAAAAACAAGGTGGGCCCTCGCTGGTTTGGCTCATCAGCCTGAAGGGTCCCAGGTTCAATTCCGGTCAAGGGTACATGCCTAGGTTGCAGGCTTGATCCCCAGTAGGGGACGTGCAGGAGGCAGCCAATCAGTGATTCTCTCTCAACACTGATGTTTCTCTTTCCCTCTCCCTTCCTCTCTGAAATCAATAAAGATATATAGATATATATTTTATTGATTTTTTTTTTTTTTTTTTTTTCAGAGAGTAAGGGAGAGGGATAGAGAGTCAGAAACATCAATGAGAAACATCAATCAGCTGCCTCCTGCACACCCCCTATTGGGGATGTGCTGGAAACCAAGGTACAAGCCCTTGACCGGAATTGAACCCGGGACCCCTTAGTCAGCAGGCCGACGCTCTATCCACTGAGCCAAACCGGTTAGGGCAAAGATATCTTTTTTAAAACTTTTTTTTTTTTTAAACACAAGGTGGGTAGAGGAGAATTTGAAGATTTATCCTCTCTTCTTCATTAGTATAAAGTACGACAATCCCTACCAGTAACCATGATTGAAAAGTAAAAGTGAAGTGCAAACGCCGGGAGGGAGAGTTAAGAACCAAATGGTGCCACGTCCAGGACGCCTACCGTGGGCGACGTAGAGGAGCAGCCACCAGCGCGGGGGGTGAAGGAAACCCCACGGCGGCCTGCACCGCGGGGCGGGCGGGGCGGAGGAGGGGGCTCCGGGGCGTCCGCATCCCAGCGAGGCTGCGCGCCACCCAGCGCCGCCCCGAGACGCCCGAGGTCCGCGGGGCGGGGCCGGAGGAGGCGGGGCCTAGCTCCGGAAGGCGTGCCTCTCATGGCCAGAAGGCGGGACGGAGGCCCTCTACGCACGCCTATTGGTCCTCCGAGGAACTGACGGCTCTCCCTGACCAGTGGTAACCCAGATGGGGCGCACGCGTATTTGGGAAAGGGAGCGGGATTCACGAAGCGCGCATGCGCCTTGGTCTACACGGGGGGGGGGGGGGGGGAAGCCCTAATATAAAGGGGCTGTGGTGGGGAAAGGAGGTTGAACTCCCTCAGTGAATCCCGGCCAAACAAGGTTCTTGAGCTTCCTCCTCTAGGAGCCCCAGGATAGCAGCCTTTCAGGGCCCCGGAACTGCCCCGGTGGGAATCCCATCTACCTTCTTTGTTGTCCTGGCCGCACCCCAGCCCTCCCTGAAGCGGGTTGTTATGATGGTGAATTATTCAAGAAGCCTTGCCGCCTGACGCCATCGGGGAACAGTCCCCCTTCCTTCTCCCTTCCTTCCCAGCAGGGCATCGCGGCTATCCCCGAAATCATAGGGCCCCAAAGCTGCTTTGAAGGCCCCACTTGTTGAGGACCTACTAAGTGTTAGGCCTAGTGCAATGCGCAAGTCCCTGCTCTCCCGAGCTTACATTTTATGGGACAACAGACAAAAACAAGACCATTTTAGACAGTGTAAGTGCTCAAAACAACATGACAGTGTGACAAAATGCCTGGAGGTTGCTCAGTGAGAAGGTGAATTAGGCTTAAGTGAAGGCAACAGCCATAGGACCCAGCGTTTAATGCTTGGGGAAAAAGCAGGTGAAAAGGCCCTGTGCAAAGCAGACCAGGTTTTACCTGTCTCCAGCCTGGGAGGAAGTTTGGGGATTATTCTAAATACAATGGGAAGGCATTAGATTTGGGTGGAATCTTGATGTGACATGATTTCTTATGTTGCTGAGTGGAGGATGGAGTGTTAGAAAGGAAATAAATCAATTCAGATGCTGGCAGAAACTGGGGATTGAGCTGGATAGCTGCTGAGACGCGGCTGAGTTCAGAATAGGATTGGGGGTGATGGAGGAGGGAAAAGAAGAAACCAGGTTGGGTCCCAAGCTTCTGGAATGTGCTAGAGGTGGGGATCGAGAGTTCGGTGGTGGCCAGGCTGAGGCTGAGACACCCAGTGACATCCAAGCAGAGATGTCAGTTGGAGGTTTGAGCCCATGGAGAGGTCAGGGCGGGAGTTACCCATGAACACACAGTTGGTATTTAAGCTGCAGGACTTGGAAGAGCCCTCTGCCGACAGTGAAAGTAGAAAAGGGCTCTTCCTGTGTGAGTCAGTCCAGCAGAGGTGTAAACGCTCCACAGGATACCCAGAGGGTCCAGTAGGAGGAGAAAACAGGAGAAGAAGAAAGATGCTGGTTTTCTGAGTTACGCCCAATAAAGTTTGAGATGCAGGCGGAGAAATGGCCACTTTTTGGTTGCTGAAAAGTTGGATCAGGAGCTCGGCCTGGGAATAGGCAGTGGTGTGCAGGGAAGGAAGAGAAAACATTCTGCTGTGGAAAGGAGCAGAGATACCGTGTGGCAGTTGAACGGAATGTAAATCTTGAGTTTTATCTGTAAGAGACACTAGAACAGATTTAATTGATGATAACTTGCCGAAACCGGTGTGGCTCAGTGTTGGCCTACGGACTCAAGGGTCCCGGGTTCTATCCTGGTCAAGGACATGTGCCTTGGTTGCGGACACATCCCCAGTAGGGAGTGTGCAGAAGGCAGCTGATCGATGTTTCTCTCTCATCCATGTTTCTGACTCTCTATCCCTCTCCCTTCCTCTCTGTAAAAAAAAACAATAAAATATATATATTTAAAAAAATAATCCAGACAAGAAGGAGGGAGTTGAAATTTATTGAAGGCTTACATAGTGTGTTAAGAGTTTTACAAACCTTTGTCCTCGCAGTGTTTTACAGGTCAGGAAATTGAGGTTAAATAACTTGCCCAAGGTCATGCAGCTAGAGGTGGCAGAGCTGAGAGGCCACCCAGGTTGTTATGACTCTTCATGTTTCACCACCCAGCTGTATAGGCACACAGCCCCTTGTGCTTAAACACCCTGGCCATGCCCTGCCCTGGCCAGTGCCCCTGCCACATCAGAGAGAGTTACTCTCATGCTGGGGGGGGGGGGGGGGCAGGACTTGATTATTTTCTTCCTCCAGTGCCGGAAGCAGAGTATCTTCCCGCCACAGCCTGAATACCCATGCAGTACAGGACAGAGGAGCAGAGGCAAGCAGCAGGAGCCCCAGAGGTAGGAGAGAAAGGAGTAACATTGGGGTAAACAGCGTTTCCTTCAGTGTCAGCCAGTGCAAGGGAATGCTGGAGGCTGCTGGTCCCAACCAGCTGGGGCCCGTGGCCCCCGCATTCACCTGGACCTGCTCAGTGCAGCAAGAAGCCCACCTCAGAGCCCCGTCTCCCGGGTGCCCCCATTGAGGCTGAGGCTGTGGGGGCGGGAGCCGCGCTCGAGCCTGCGGGCAGAGAGGAGGCGCCGCAGGGAGGAGCCGGAGCTCAGGTCCCCGCAGCTTCTGAGATGGAGACTCTCTCGGCCTGGCCGTCCCCACCGGCTCCGAGGCACCTGAAGGGGGACACAGGAGAGGACACCCGTGTGGCCCATCCTGAAGCTCCAGGCTTTCCCGGGCACCTTCCCAGGCTCCCCTAAAGCCTACCTGCTTCTGCCCGTGGGCTCCGTGCCCCCCGGCGTCCGGGGTCTTCCTGGACATCTGGAGGAAACGCGCGACCAAGGCCCGGCCCGGCCAGCTGCCCTTCAGGTCGCCCAGGGAGTGGGCAGGGGTAGGGCCCGAGGGCAGGGGCACCTTCTGGAAGGTGGGAACGGGGCGCCGCTTCTCGGCAGAATGAGCACGTAGCAACTTGGGGGAAGGGCGGCGGGCTAGATGGAAGAGGCAGGCTTCAGAGCAGAGCCCTGGAGAGAGAGTCAGAGAGAGAGAGAGAGAGAGAGAGAGAGAGAATGAATATGGGTGAAATGGGAGGAGCAGAGAGTGCCAGGCAGCACATCCCCAGCCCCCGGGCACTAACCACATGCCTGACCTGTATCTGCAGAGGAAACAGACGCAGCCTCTTCCTCAAACACTTTGGTATAAAGGTCCCTGAAGTCAGCTGGGGGGCGGGGTGGGGGGGAAGCGGGGAGAGAAGCAGACAGGGCCGTGCTCAGTGGACACACCTGCCCAGCCCGCCACCCTCCTGTGAGAATTCAAGCCCAGAGGAGCTTTCCCAGCTCCCCCACCCCCACCCCCAACCAGGGGGACATCACCTCTGCCCACAGGTGCACAGTTCACCAAGGCAGGGAGCCAGGCGGTGTCCTTCACAGCGGCACCCTCCCCGTGCCTGGGGCATAACGTGATCCTGAGCCCTGTATGTGCTAAGCATGTTACTGGCATCGCCTCGTTCTCAGGAGCTCTGAGGCACCCACGCCGGGGAGACTATTGCTCTGCCTGGTTTATAGTAAGACACAAGCGTGGCGACTAGCCGGAGCTGGGTGTTGTGGATTTGGGTTTCAACAACAAATCCTCTTTTAGCCGAAACCGATTTGGCTCAGTGGATGATAAGAGCATCGGTCTGCTCTTGAAGGGTCCGGGGTTCGGTTCCGGTCAAGGGCATGCACCTTGGTTGCGGGCACATCCCCAATGGGGGGTGTACAAGAGGCAGCTGATGGATGATTCTCTCTCATCGATGTTTCTAACTCTCTATCCCTCTCCCTTCCTCTCTGTAAAAAATCACTAAAACGAAAAAACAAATCCTCTTTTAGCCACAACGCTACGGATGCTGTGTTTCTAGGAGGAACTGTCTACCGCAGGGTGACCTCGCTCTGCTCTGCCATCCTCTCCAGGGACCTCACCAGCTCCCCATCCTGGTGGCCATCGCTGGTCCTTCCACTCCCAGCGCCTGCCCTTTCCTGGGCCTTGGGGGCTAGGGGGTGGGGATTAGGGGCTGAAGGGGGTGGGGATTAGGGGCTGTAGGGGGTGGGGATTAGGGGGTGAAGGGGGTGGGGATTAGGGGGTGTAGGGGGTGGTACTCACCGGTGTTGCTGGAGGTGGCGATGCCGGGGTCGCTGTGTGACCGCGGCAGCAGCGGCGGCGGCGCGGGCGCCGGGTGGCCAGGGGGCCGGTGCCCGGGCGGCGTGAGGGACCCTGAGCTGTCGCTGAAGCGGCGGGCGGGGGCCCTGGCGGGCGGGGCGGCGGGCGGGCGGCCTGCCCGCGGCACCCGGCGCCTGAGCTCGGGGAAGCAGGGCGCCACCCAGGGCGGCCAGGCCTCCAGGCGGTGGCAGCTGCGCGCGGCGGCGGGGGCGCCCAGCGCGGGGGGCGCCTCGGGGGCGGAGCAGGAGTGCGAGCGCGCGGCGCGCGGCGGCCGGGGCAGCGGGCTGTCCTCGAAGGGGCCGCGCAGGCCGCAGTCCAGGCTGAGGCAGTAGCCGGCGCGGCTGCGCTGGATGGAGCGGAAGAGCACGTAGTCCACCGAGCGCACCGAGCCCTGCAGCTCCAGCAGGCACGAGTCCTCGGACGGGCTGGAGCCCCCCGGCAGGTCGCCGATGGCCGACAGCACCAGCGACCCGCTGTCCATGGACACTGTGGGCGCAGGGGCGTGGCTGGCACCGGCCCGGCCTGGGCAGCTTCCCTCTGTTCCGGCCCAGCCTCTGGGGGACCCGCTGCCTCTTTTATCTCCAGGGAGACTGTGAAGTCCAGGGTCCCAGGAAGCCACCGCCCTCGCTGGTCCACACACTCAGCCTTGTCCCCCCTTTTGGCTCCCACCTGGCTCTGCTACCCCGGGCAGCCGGCCCTTGTCCATCCTCCCCACTGTCTGCTCACCATCCACAATGGAGGCCACTCGCTCGCAGATGCAGGAGCCATCGTGAAGCTGAGGGTCAAACAGAGTGGCCTGAAGAAGACACAAGGGTCACAGGCCTAGCTCTGCACACCGACAGGGCCACCCCCATGTGCTGGACAGAGCTGTGGACGGTCTAGGTTCCAGTCCCGCCGCCGGGTCACGGTGCACATGTCACTGAGGGGGCCTCTGCTTTACGGAAATCATGGCTCCCACCCCACCCATCTCCCGGGCTCTAGATGGCAGTGGATGTGTTCGTGCCATAAGATCCTGGGAACTATTATTATTATTATTATTATTATTAAAAATATATTTTATTGATTTTCCACAGAGAGGAAGGGAGAGGGACAGAGAGCTAGAAACATCAATGAGAGAAATATTGACCAGCTGCCTCCTGCATCCCCACTCACTGGGGATGTGCCGGCAACCAAGGTACATGCCCGTGACCGGAATCGAACCCGGGACCTTTCAGTCCGCAGGCCGACACTCTATTCACTGAGCCAAACCGGTTTCAGCTGGAAACTATTGCTATCTGTGTCCAATGACTGCGGCTCACTCAGCGTTCCTGCTCCAGCCCTGGCTCCCGGGCCCGCACCGAGCCCTGCTCTCACCTGGCTGTCTCCTCGGAGCCCCATCACGGCCTCATAAGAAGGGGGGCAGTCAGTAGGGTACAAGGGCACTGGGCTGTCCATGGAGCCATTGTAGGTGATGCTGTGGGAAGAGGGGGAGGGGAGAAAGCGGGGAGGACTGTTCCACAAAGGTCCTCCCCACCAATCAAGGCTGCAGCCAGAGCCCCCTCCCCCTGCCTTCGCTTCCCCAGCCGGAGCCGCCAGGCCTCACCTCTGGGCATCTGTTTCGGAGCTGCAGGTGTACTCCGGGGGGTAGTAGGGCGGTGGGGGCACAGGTGGTACAAATTCCTCCAAGTCCAGCATGGCGTGCAGGAGAGGGGCTGGGGGCGAGGAGGTACAGGCCAGAGGCCCCAGGGGACCCGAGACCGAGCGGTCAGGGGCCAGCTGCTGGGGAGCAAACGGAACCCTGGTTTCAGGTTATTGGGCTCCCAAACTCCTGGCCTCATCTACATCTTCTGGCTCCGCCCTCAGAGCGGCTCAGCTTGGCCCCGCCCCCAGCCAGAAACAGCCCCTCCCCTAACCTGGCCTCCACCCCGGACCTCCTGGCAGGCCCTGCCTATCTAAAATCATTCCTCCTCCTTATGACCCCATCTACACCCAGAATCGCCACCTGCTCTGTCCTCACCAGCACATCAACCCTTCACCCCCATCACCACCCCCACCCCCACCCAGGACCTGCTTGACTCCGCCCCCCAAGCTGGCATCACATACTTTCTTACTCCCTGTCATTCCTCTCCTCCCCCCTTTCCCACACGGGCCCCCTTAACATCCTACAATAACAGACATTCCTGATGGGTGATCGCCAGCCCCTGGTGCTTAGAAGAATCACTATCACCACCCCCCAACCCCAGTCCCAGCGCATACACCCTGCCCCCCTCCATGACACCTGCTCGGCCTTGACCCCACTCCCCCTCACCGTGTGCATGAGGTCAAGGGAGAATATTTGGATGCAGCAGATGATTGCGGAGACGGTGCAGATTATGGTGGCACAAATGGTGAGTCCACAGACGCTGAAGAGCAGGTTCTGGGAAAGGAGAGAGAGAGAGGGATGTGTGAGGGGGATGGGTAACTCCCACATACCCTGGGCCCGTGAGGACCCCAGGAGGGGCCGTGTGGTGGGGGAGAAAGGAATGGGGGAGCTGGGGGGCGTGCATGCTCACCTTGAGGGCCCCTCGGGCTTCATCACAGGTGGAGTTAGGGGCAACTTTGAGTTCCTGCCCTGACTCTGGGCAGGGCCGGAGGAGGGGCACAGGAGGGCAGCACACACAGACCTTTCCTTCCTGAGTGGCAGTGGGGAGGGTGAGACAGACTGAGTCAGGTGTCCCTCACTTCTCCCCCAACTCTCCCCCAACCGGTTCTTTCTGGCTCGCCCTCCTCACATCTCACCATGGAGCAGTGGCGGAAGTCTCGGGCCAGCTGAGCATTCTTACAGGAGAGAACAGAGCCAGCCATGCTGAGCATGACACACAGCACCGAGAGCAAGGAGAAGAAGGAGATCTGGGGGAACAGGGTGCAGATCAGGGCTGGGGTGCTCAGGAGTGGGGGCCACCGAGGAGGGAGCCACCCTCCCTCACACTCATCCGTGCCTGGGTGACCGGAACGGGAGAGCCGGTTCCCTTCTCGAGGGCATAAATGGGCATCCCCTCGGGTGGTGGGCACCTGCCTCCCCGTGGACACCGGACCCTGGCACCTACCACTAAAGTGAATGGCCGCTTCCAGGACACAATGCCAACTACCCCGGAGAACGCCAGCTGGGGACAGAGTGGGCACAGGCTCAGCCTGGCAGGGGAGGCACCTGCGTGAGCCCCTCGCCACAGGGTGCACCCAGCCCTTTCCGAGGGAGAGGGCCCGGAGAGGGAGGAGAGGTCAGGATTTGAACCGGCAGCTGGGGTGGAGGGGTGGGGCCCGAGGAGCCGCCCCCACCCAACAACTGTGCACCCAACTCACCGAGAACCCAGCCCAAGACGGGCAGGACCTCTTGATGCTCTCGGTGGTGGTGACAGAGGAGGCCACCATGCTGAAGGTGACCACCAGGATGCCCAGCAGCACCTGGGCCAGCCCCAGCGTGAGCAGGGCCTGCAGCCAGGGTCGGTGGAGGCGGAGGTGGGTGAGGCCCCGGGTACTAGGCCGGCTGGTGAGCGAGCGGCTGGAGTCACTAGGCGAGGGCATCATGCCTGCCGCCCGGGTGCCTGCGCCTCGCTCGGCCCCCCCTGGCGCTTGGGAGCATCTCAGAGGAGCCCAGGGCCCCGTCCTTCCTCCTCTCCACACCCCCGGCTCTAGAGCCCACCCCCTGGCTGGGTCCCCTGGGGCATGGCTCAGGGACTCCAGCTGGAGGGGGGGTCAGGGCAGGGAAGGCACCGAGGGGCCGCGGCGTGCTCCCTCCCCACCACGGGCACTGGATGGGCACCGTGCCCAGGATGGCGATGAGGGCGCTGGGACACAGGCTCATCGCATCTCCCTAGGGAAGAGGGGCGCCGAGAAGGGCAGGTCCGCGAGTGAGGAGAGGGCGTGGGGGAGGACGGAGGTCGGAGCCCAGGGAAGGATGGGGAAGGTGAAGTCCCGAGGATGGGGAAGAAGTCCAGGGAGAGGGGAGGGGTCGGCGGAGGTGACTCTAGAGGGGCGGCGGACGTGCCTCCGGAGTGTCCAGTGGGATCCAAGGCTGTTGGTGGGATAGGCCCGGGCACCGCCGTCTCCTGTCGCCAGCCCTGCTCCCCTCCCCGCCACGCTCCGCTCCCCGCTCGGGCTGCAGCGGGTTTGGAGGCAGGGGGTGGGGATGGGCTGGTGCGGGAGGAGGAGCGTGGCCGCGCGGTGCACGCCGGGAGTTGTAGTTCGCATGGGAGACGCTGCGGGGTGGGGCAGGAGCTGGCCACAGAGCAGGCCGGCAGGTGATGCCCTCCAGTTCCCGCCTCTGCCGGTACCCAGGCCCGAGCCCACAGCCCTTTGGGCGCTCGCTTAAGCCCCACCCAGCCTCTGTCCCCCCCCCCCACCGCGCCCCACCGCATTCTCAGCAGAGGCAGCGGCTCTTTCCGGGCCATTAATGGAAGGGTGGGGAGCAGGGCTCCCTGGATGATTCCACGCCCAACCGTGGACTTCCCTCCTCCTTCCTGCTCCAGCCACCCTGCCACCCAGCTCTGCTGCCCCACCCTGACAGCTGGCAGCTCACCCTCTGGAATTCATACTCTGCCTTCATCCCAGTTCCCTCCTCACTTCTTTTCTTTTTAAATCCTCACCCAGTATATTTTTCCTTTGATTTCTTAGAGAGAGTGGACAATGTGAGAGAAACGCATCGATTGGCTGCCTCCTGCATGCACCCTGACCGAAGCTCTATCCACTGAGCCGAACCTGCCAGGGCACTCTTTCTGTCCTAGTTCCCAGTAAACATTCCAGAAACAGGGATCTGAGTTCCAGTTCCACTTTCTTTTTATTTAAATAATCGAAGCAACAGCCTTGGCACAGCAGAGGGAAGCTGGGTGGGAGAGTGTAAGGGGTGGCAGCAGAGTGGCCTGATTGGGCAGTGGGGTGTAGGCAGAGCAGTGACTGGGTCACAGCGGGTTCCCCGACCCCTAATTCAGGTCCGGCAGCCATGGGGGCACGATACAGGAGACATCAAATAGTTGTGTCTCACAAGTCCCAGAGACCTCAGGTGGCAGGGCCAGGGCATCCGTCGGGGGTCACGGGCCCCGGAAGGCATTTTCAGCAGCGCCAGCGGCTGCGTTGGCGGCTGCGGTTCGCACCGCAGGATTGGAGAAGACACCGGCCGCGAATTCTTGCTGGGCCTTCTGGAAGCTGGCACCTGTGTTGCGGTACTGGGAGTGGATCTGCAAGTGGGGGACAGAGATATCATAGCACATCCCAGCCACTGCTACTCTGCTCCAGCCCCACACCACCACCACTCCCCAGCCTACTGCTCTCATTTCCCTTCTTGGACCCCCTCCAACACACACACACACACACACACACACACACACTCACACACACACAGGTCCATTAGCTCAGAACCCGCCCATCAGCCTGGCCCTCCCCAGTTCCTCCAGAAAGTTCCACCCAGGCCCCTGGGGACACATGATCTCACTCTCCTGGCCCCACCTTCACCACAGCCCCTCACCCGCTTTAGCATCACGATTCCCAGCACGGCGATGCCAGTGAAGAACAGGGCGACCAGCAGCATGAGCACAGCTACAGCCGTGTTGGTCTTCAGCACCACCAGCGCGGAGATCCAGCCACTGGGAGGAGGGACAAGGATGTGGCCGTGAAGAGGGTCCGCTCAGAGCTGGGTCTCTGTCCTCCCAGCTTCTCCGCCGGTTATGTCCCAAACCAGCCCCATTCCCACCCTTCCATCCTCAGTCACGCCTGTTAGTCTGGCAGCTTTCTACGCTCACATTCCCGAACTACATCCATTCTCTTCATGGTTTAGACCCACTTTCTGAACTACTTCCCAGCTCTCCAAGCTCTTCCGGACATCCTCACTCTAAACAGCCTCTCTGGCCCTGGCTGGAGAGCTGTTGGTTAGAGCATCAAGGCTGTGAGTTCGATCCCCAGTGAGGACACATACAAGAACCAGCCAATGAATGCATAAATATGTAGAACAACAAATCTCTCGCCCTCTAAAAGTCAATAAACTAAAATCCAGTAACATAAATAGACCCTTTTGTTGAAGATTCTCCCTCTGCTCTTCAACCGTGATTACATACACCTCCTCCAGGAAGCCTTCTCAGATTGACCTTCTTCCCCTCAACCCATGTCTGTCCAGAGTTCTGTCTGGGCTCTCTCTGTCCTGGAAGAATGTCCTGTCTCTCTCCATAAACCAGCGCCTCTCAAGGCTAAAAACCACATTTCCTCCTGCTGAACAACTCCCACCCAGGACCCTGACGTGGTCTGGAGGCCTGGGGGGAAGGGCTGAGGGAAGACAGCAGGCTCACTGACCTGAACCCCCAACCTGGGATGCCAATGGCCTGGAGGACAAAAAGTATATCCTGGGCGAAGAAAATGAAGAAGAAAACGAAGAAATTGAACGAACTATCGCTCCTGCGAGGAGAAAAAACGGGGAGGGCGGGAGAATTAGTGCTGGAGGAGCAGAGAGCAGGGGTCCATTCAAACCTCCCCATCACCCCTGCCCCCAACTCACCGGAAAGCCTTGTACATGGGGCGGTACCAGCAGACGAAGGAGCAGGGAGTGAAGAGAATGATCCAGAGGATAGAGAGCCCAAAGCCGGTGCCCCCGTTGGTGTCCACACAGAAGCTGGCGAGGCAGGCGAGGAAGTTCAGGAGAAGAGCCAGAGTGCTGCCTAACGGAGGGAGGGCAGGATGACGGCTCTTTCTGCCCGCAGTGGAAGCTCCTTCCCCGATAAGCCCGCCCGATGCCCCTCCCCAAATGTTAAGGTGACCAGATGTCCTGATTTTTAACAAAAATTTTTTCCAAAAAAATCGGGACTGTCCCGCCAAAAGCGGGGGACGTCTGGTCACCTTACCAAACGTGGCGAGAAGGACACACAGACAACAGCTGCCCTTACAGAGTCCCCCACAGGGGAGACAGAACGAGCAAACCTCACTCATGTGTAACCAATCCCCTTTGAAAAGACAGTTGCAGGATTCAGAATACCTTGATGCCTGAGGACAAGGGAAGGTAAGCGGGCGAAAACACACCTTTGCTAGAAGGCTGGAGAATAAGTTCTCAATTGTATAAAAGGACTAACCCAGGAAGATCCTAGAGAAATTAGATTTAAACTCAAATATTAAAGAGAGGTACAGTGTCTAGTTCTAGGTGAGGGGGCTCCAGGGTCGAAAAGATGTACAAGTTACTCCTTGTATTCTTTCTCCACATGGGCTTCCTACTACTCACACATCCAGAGATAGTACATGGTGGACACTGTCTTTTGAAATTCCTGTGGGATCTCCATGGAGATGTCCTGGAAAAAGCAGGGCTGGACGGGGCAGAAAGAAGGCAGAGGGGGCCAATTGTTCTGTCGAGCTGAAAGGCACAAAGAGAGCAGAAGTGAGGCAGAGACCAACGAAGGAGTCACTCCCGCTTCCATTCTAGGTCCTTTATTATCTCTAACCTGGGGTCCAAGGAGATGGAGAGAAATAAAAATTACTATTTACAACCTTTAAGCACTTTGTATGGAGGATCTTGTTTAATATATTTTATTGATTTTGTACAGAGAGGAAGGGAGAGAGATAGAGAGTTAGAAACATCGATGAGAGAGAGTCATCAATCAGCTGCCTCTTGCACACCCCCTACTGGGGGGATATGCCCGCAACCAAGATACATGCCCTTGACCGGAATCGAACCCGGGACCCTTCAGTCCCCAAGCCAGCCAAACCAGTCTCGGCTGGAGGATCTTGTTTAATTCCCACAACAATCCTGTCCAACGGGTACAAAAGCTATTCTCATTTTACAAGTATGGAAACTGAGGCACTCGGCATTAAGCGGCTTGCCTAGGAGCTCGCTATTATTAATGAGCGATCTCGCCCACATTTCAGACTCAGTTTGGCTCTGGGGCCCAAGCTCATAGGTGTTTTGCTCCTTAGAAACCGTCAGACCCTCCAAGGACCCACTTACTGGCTTTGCCCCCCAGGGCAGCGTGCTGCAGCTCCCGCTCCCTCCGGTCCAGCTCCTCTGCCTTCCTGTTGAGCTCCTCTTGCTTCTTGAGCAGCTCTGCCGTGGCTGCTGCGGCGGAAGCCTGCCCGGTGCGAGCAGCGAGATGTGAGTCCTGGGCCCCGGCTGGCCCGGCTTCCCGACCGCCGTCCGCACCGCGCCCTTACCTGGGTGCTGTAGGAGCCATAGTTCTTGGGTTCTGATGGGCTGAACTTTCTGGAGGACTGCGGGGGAGCTGAGGGTGGGGGCAGTGGGGCTGGGGCAGGGGCAGGAGGCTCGTAGGTTGATGGTGGCTGCTGGGTTGAAAAAGACCTTACAGATCATCTGGTCCCTCAGAACAGAGGAACCTAGTCAGCCTGGATATCTTCTGACTCAGAACACATTACCTGGGTAGCAGCCCCTCCCACAGCGGTTAGAAGGCTATTTTTATGTTGGTCAGAGAACTCCGTTACAACCAGCAGCAGCCCTCATCACCCCTCACATCCAATTCCTTAGCCAGAACGCAAAGCACTCATCTACAGCTACTTCCGTGCCTTTTAAAAACCCTATTTCCTGTCCCAGTGAGACACATCTGTCTAGTTCTTGCCTTCTAATTGCACACCTAAGCAGAGTGTTTTCTCACCTCCCACCGGCTGCATACTTTGTTTTTTTCAGAGAGGCCTCCCCACACAGAGCCTTGGTCATGGCCCCGCCAGGCTGATTGGATGGATCGTTAGCCCCTGTGTCTCCGGAAGAATTAAGCATCCATGGCCACTCTGTCAGGGAGCTAAGGTCAAGGTGCTCGCTTCTTCCTTTGCATGCGGAAAAGGCCCCGGTACCCCGACAGAGCGGACTTATTGGCAGACCCTCCCCTTCCCTGCAGTCAGTCCTGTGCTCTCCAGAATCTCACCTCTCGGGTCTCAAAAGGGTTGTAGACGTCGAGCGTGGCATAGTTCGGGCCCGGGCTCGGCCGGTGCTGGATCACAGCTGGGTCCTGCGGGCAGAGACCAGAGGCTCAGCTGGCACCCGATACCTCACGGAGGCCTCTTCAAACTGCCTGTGGCTCCCGGACTCCACTAGGGAGCCACGCTGTTGTCCCAACATTTTCTCCAAGTCCTCCACCCCTCACTGCCCGGACCGGTTTCTTACAGGGACAGGGCCCGCCCCCCAGGGTGCTCACTGGTCTGGAGTCACCGGCACCCTCACGTGGCGGCCCTTCCAAAGACCAAATGTCCAGAATGGGAAGGCAAGTTAACCCATCCTCCAGAACCGGGAAGTCAGTCCTGCTGCCCAAAGGAGGCCGGCGCAAGTCACCTGGAAAGGGTTGTCAAGTTGGCTGGGCTCGGCGAAGGGGTTTTGGCCGTCTGTGTTTTGAGCCATAGTTGCAACCGCGGACTAGGCCGCCCCCTGCCCTCCACGCCCCTGGGGCGGCACTGGGGGCAGCAGCGACTCTCAGCGCTCCCTCCGCTCCACTCCGGCCGCCGCTCCGCTGTGCACCGATTGGCTGGACCGGCCGGAAGTCTCCAGGATCCCGCAGCAGCAGCGGGTTACGCCTGCGTCCAGGCTACAGGAAAGGCCGGAAGTGCCACACGTGACACCAGTAACCCAGTGTCTCCAAGTACCACCCCCTTACCTCACGTGACGCAGCCCCACCAACGAACTACACCCCCCAGGAGGCTTTGCGTGATAATCCTGCTATGTACGATGGGAGTTTTCCCCGGTGGTGGGAGCCTCTCAGAAGCCCAGTAGAGCAAGTTTTTAACTTGGCTTCTGGCTGGACGGTGGGGATCCAATCTAATGGCTCTAGTAGTTGGACCCCCTTCGCAACCCTCGTTATTCCTGACCAAAGAAGTGCCACCTAGCCGAAGCCAGTTTGGCTCAGTGGTAGAGCGTCTGTCTGCGGACTGAAAGGTCCCAGGTTCGATTCCTGTCAAGGGCATGTACATCGGTTGTGGGAACATCCCCGGTAGGGGGTGTGCCAGAGGCAGCTGGCCAATGTTTCTCTCTCATCGACATTTCTTGCTCTCTCTCTCCCTACCTCTCTGTAAAAATATCAATAAAATACATTATTTAAAAAAAGTGCCACCTTATAATCCTCCATACTAATGTGCAAGAAATGTTATCATTCATCATTACCCTCCCCTGAAACAAACCAGATAAACTGGTCGCCTGATTAGTTAATTTTAGAGGGTAAGATGAGACTCCCTGCTTACCCAAACTCAGGCTGCCAATCTTCTCATCCCTCCACCCCAGCATTGCCAAACCTCAAACTCCGGGGATGGAGGTCAGATGAAGCACTTCATTTTATTTCACAAAGACTATACAAAATTCGTTATAAAATATGGGCTGGATGCCACCTGGTTACCTCATTCTGCCCCCATCCATCTCATCTGTCAAAGGGCAAGTGAGGTTGGGAAGAGTGTGGAATGGATAGCATTATGTACAAGGCAGGGTACAAGCTCTTTCGTATGTACACTATTTCACATATTCACAGGTATACAGGGAGCCAGGAGGAAGGAGTGGGCTCCGGTTGTTCTCTTGTATAAAAAAGCACCAGTGTCCTGGACTGGACACCCACTGCCGCTAGAGGCAGCGGGGCCCAGGGTCTGATCGTCACCGACTGATATCCCGACTGGAGTCCCACAACTTGGCCGTGAGTGGTTCAGCCCGCAGGCGGGTGAAGAAAGGATGCTGAAGAGCTTCCCCCAAGGTCAGCCGCTTAGCAGGTTCGTACTCTAGCATGCTTTCGATCAGATCGAAGAGCTGGTGGTGTTCCTCTGCCTCTGAGGCCAGATACCGCTGGTGGTGGAGGGCAGGAGAAAGGTGAGGTTCGATGCCTTACAAGCCCTGCCTTCTACAAGGCCCTGCTTCAGTCTTGGAAGACCAAGGCTCTGCTTACCACCTTTATGAATACGACCTTCACACGACCACATCGTGACCGACTCTGATACTACAGCTTAACCCACCTTCGCTTCATACTCTGAAAGTTCTACTTGTATATTCTGGTCAACCTCGTGAATCTTTTCTTTAGCTCCACATTAAAATTTAAGCTCTAACTTATTTTATTTTTTGTGACCCAAGGAATCCAGGACATTGCTTTGATCTCTAATTGGCTCAAGAAGGACATGGCTGTCTAACCTCTTTCCCTCCAAAAAACCAGTCTCTCTTCTCTCTCTTCAATTAATCAAAAATGTCTGCAGTATTCCTCCCCTTTCCAGAGTTTCACAGCTCTGTGCTTGTGAAACGCTTTCCAGAGGCAAAACACCTCAAGAAAGGAGTGACCTCGGTGGCGGGCGCTGCTGACCCCAGCCTGGCTCACCCGCAGTGGTTTGCAGTTTTCTCGAACGTAGCGCCCGGCTGATGTGTTCTCATCCCAGTCCAGGCGGCCCCGATAAAAATATTTCTGCTTCCTAGAGGGGAAGGGGAGGTTGAGGAATCAGGAGGCTCCTCTTACTGTGGGATAATCCCCTTAACCCCCATCTGAGTGGCTGGGGGAGGGAAGGTGTCAAAGAAAACAGAAAACGTGGTATTGACCATTTGTTGAGAGAAAAGGAAAAGGGTTAAGCCCCTCCCACTCAAAGTTCACCTTGTTTTTCGGGTCATCCGGGAAGGGATGGGACCCAAAATCCTTTCCATCATGGCTAGATGCTCCCTGTTGTCATGGGTCTAGGAAAGGAAGCCAGAACTGAGCATGGGACTGGGAAGGGAATGCTGAGGACCAGCTGCCAGGAAAATAAGCAATGTGGGCGAGTAAGCAGGCAGGTCCTCAGTAGACAGGGAAATCGGGGTGGGAATCCCAGGCGGTCACAGAATTACTTACTTGGAAGAGGGTGAAGCCAACATAGTACTCAAAGATGATGCAGCCTATGCTCCACACATCACAAGGCTGTGACCAGCCCAGCTCTGGGTAGGAAGTGGAGGGAAAGGTGTTATGACGCTTAGGGGGTGCCACCCTCACCATCACACCTGCTTACACTCAGACATCCTTGTCCTTCCCCCTTACCCAGGATGACCTCTGGTGCTCGGTAGTGGCGAGTGGAGACAATAGTACTATGGTGCTCATGGTCAAAGGTGGCACTGCCAAAGTCTACCACCCGCACGGCTGTGCTCTTCACGCTTCGCTCATCTCGCTTCTAGGAACCAAGCGGGAAAAGAATGAACCTCTGCACTCCAGCCTGAGAGGCCGTTACTGTCCTCTGAAGTGGTTCTAAGCATTAAAAAGTAACTTAGGCCTGATTCTCTGCCCCCACCACACGCCAATCTCTGGTCATACAGCCTCCCCATACCTAGCAGAGTACTTTAGGAGTTGAGGAGGAAGAGGATTACGGAATAATTATGGGATAGCATGCAAGTCTCTGTGCACCGAAGGCTACACCCAAGTGACTGGTGTTTTTGTGAAAATGTTAATATGTTGCAAAGAGAAGGAGTTTGCTTTGGAGATCTCCATAAACTCTAGTTACTGAGGGAACTGAGCTTTCTTTACAAAGAAGAGAAAGAAGTCTTGAGTAAGAACCTTAAAAGCATTCCCACTAGATTGGGAAGTTATCTGAGGTTCTTTTTTCAAATTTTCTTCCAATTGAAGTCTTCTTAAATCTCTCCCTTTCAATCTCTGCTGGTTTTACTCAGTCAAGAGCCAGACCAAGAGAAAATGTGGGCGCAAGAAGTAAAAGGCCATGAAGGGTTAAGAGAAAGGCAGACGGACACAGCCGCCTGCCCTCAATGGCCAAGGGGAAACCCTATCCATCTTACCTTCTCAAGATTGTAAGTGAGCTCGTAGTCTGAATTCACAAACAAAATATTTTCAGGCTTGAGGTCCGTATGTGTCAGCTTGTTATCGTGGAGGACTGCAGGGGAAAAGGCCAGGTCACGGTTGGCCCTGGCAGCCAGGGCTAACTGGCACCAGCTAACCCTAGGCTTGGTCGCCTAGCTCCAAGCTGGTGAGGAGGAGGGTTCAGTTCCTAGGTTTCCTTCTGTTTTACATTCAAATGAAATGCCTGGTCTAAGATGCTCTATGCTTATAAGATATGTAAATAATTCTCAATTGAAGCGTAAGGACAGTTTTCTATAGCTTGTATTTTTGTACTGGTTCTGATATATGTATATCAACTCTGCAAAACTGTATCGTTACGAACACTCAAGAGGAACCACGTACTAGTCTGGATTCCCTACTTGGCTCCTTGGCTCGCTACTCTCTGCTTCCACCTGCTTGGCTGGGAATGAAGAGCATCTCAGGTTGGACACATGGAAACCTCTAGCTGGAGTTGACCTTTTGTCTTTGTGCTTGCTGCCTGACTTACACTTCCCAAGGAAAAGAGGTATTTAAGTGCTTTGATTTCAAAGGCTTTGTCTTCCAGCTCCTGCTTGGTTAGATGTGGAGTAAGCCAATCAGTGATGCTGAGGACATCAGTCAAGGAGTTAAGTCAGAAGAGGAGATGTCAACATGACAGTGAGTAACGGAAGTGCAGATAATCAAGTTGACTGCTTAGGGGCTTCACCAGTGCACAACTGAGATAGAAGAGGTCCAATGGAGGCAGGGGCTGTCCCAGAGTCCACCTCGGCCCACCCCACTCACACTTGACAGCCTGGCACAGCTGGAAGGCCATGTGGCGCACTTGGTGGATGGGATAGGGCAGGTAGTTGTTGTCTTTGAGGAAATCGAAGGTGCTAAGGCCCAGAAGCTCAAAGGAGATACACATGTGGCCATGGTAGTCAAACCAGTCAAACATCTGGACACAGAGGCTGGGAAGAGAGATGGGGAAGGGAAATGTCTGATCACCACCCGCCAACAAGGCGGGACTGCATAGCTGTTGATTTCACACACTTGTATTACCAACACAATTCAGTTCCTTTAGGAAATGGTCTTTCTGGTGGACTCAGGAAGAGATGTACTACCTAGCAAGATTCAAATAACTTTCAAAATTTTTACATAGTTAAAACTCTAGTTGCTGAAGTGTTGTGAAGTGCCAGGCTCTTGTGTTGACCTTGAATTATCAAACTGTCCCTCCTAAATCCAGACCCCACCCCCCATTCCAGAAATTCACTATTAGCCACCATTTGGCCCATGTTTAGACCTATTATCTTCTTATATGTTCACTTAACACCCTTGTTACATAGTTGGCTTATAGAACGTGTGTGAACAGGAATATTACATATAAATGTTGGTGGCCCCATCAGCATAGTTCCAAGTATTAAAAGCTCAATTACTTTTTTGACAAAATGTTAATTCTCAGTCTGAGGGTCATTCCCAGGGAAGATCGCTACAGAGGCCACCCTGGGCTGGAGACAAACTGCAGAGCAATTTCACTGCCTGAAAACTGGGAAATGAATCAGAGACTATCGCAGACCTCCCTTCCACTCTAATGTCCTTCTCCTCTAAGATGACGAACAGAAGATGAATGGATGAGGTCTGGGACTCCCTGCCGGCCTGACCTAGTTTGGGGTGGAGCCTCTCAGACTCCGCACACACGCCTTTGCTTGCTTACTTCTTGTTGTCAGGGTCCTTCTCATTGATTTTCTCCAGGACATTGATTTCAAGTCGAGCAGCTTCCTTGTACTTTTCCACATTCTTTATGATCTTCAAGGCAACCCGGGCCCCGCCCCTGTGGGTTGGCAGAAGAGGCTTTTGCTGGGTTCCTGAGAGCATCTCAAACTGAATGGGGCTGTCGGGGCATAAAGAACTCCTACCTTTTGCTCACCGGTACACAGGCCCCAGATCACCCTCACCACCTCTCTATGCCCAGCAGGGATGGGGCAGGGATGGGGCAGTTACCTGCGATGGTCCACACATTGTACAACTCTGCCAAAGGTGCCCTCTCCCAGCGTGCTTACAATTTCATCTGGAATGAGAGAGAGCGGGGGCGGGGAGCGGGAGGGGGGGAGAGAAGGTGGGGAATGAGCCGAGTTGGAAGGAAAAAGGGACAGCAATCTGGGGTGAAATGAAGGATGGGGGAACAGATACAGATGGTCACAGGGGAAGAAAACCCCTGTGTGACTCCCACCACCTTTAACCCAGGGGCCATGAGAGCTGGGAGTGGACAGCAGAGGTCAATTCTCAACAGCAACTCAAACCACCCAGATAAACAACACCACTGAGAGAAGGCAAGAGAGACCGTGACTTGGGTTGGCTCGGGACGTTAGGATGGCTATGGGACCATTACAGGCTATAGGATTGTTACGATTTGGCTTGTACATCGCTCTTGTAGCCAGTCCCCGACGTGGTAGATGAGGTGGCCCTCAGCGTCGTCCTCTACACTCTTGGCTCTCCGGCTGCTGTGCTGCTGTCGGGGGGCGGGGGGGGTCGGAGCAAGCCAGGTGTCGGAGCGGGGGCCGGAGGGAGGCGGGGCGGGTGGTGGAGGGGCCACCGGTCACAGGCGCCCAGCCAGGGGGGACAGACGATGATGGGGGACAGTGGAAGGGAACACGTCAGATGCAGTAAGGCGGATCGGGGTGAGAAGAGAGAGCGGCGCATAACCCCAAGTCCCAAACCCAAAACGGGAACGAGGAGAGGCACGGGCAGAGCAGAGAAGTGGTGTCGTTGTGCCAATGTCACCCACAATGCCATGCTCTACACAGTGCCCTTCCAGGCAGGCACCAATCTCCCCTTTCCCCCACCCAAGCGCACCTACTGAGGGGGCCATGGAGCCCAGGGCTTGGGGGAGAAAGGCAGTCCACAAGCAAGGTCCCCACTAGAGTGCAGGCCTCCGGGGCGAGAAGCTGCCCCCTGCACAGCGAGGCCAGCATGCCAGAGGGCACTGGGCTCACAGGCGCTCTGTGCCCAAGCACCTCTAAAGCAGATTCGGGGGCCCTCCAGGAGTCCAAGAGCTTCCGAGAGAGACGGACTCGGTGTCCACCTCAGCGTTCATGCCCCACGGACCAGCTGAGCACAAGGACACCTCTCACTTACCGGGGTCCCAGAGGGTGCGGGGAGGGGAAGGGCGGGGCCGGCACTCACCGAAGAGGAGCGGCTGAACGTCCGGCTGCGCCGCCTCCGCCGCCGGTGCTTCCTGCGGCTGCTGCGCTGGCTGCGGTAGCTGCTGTTCTCCCGGTGGTACTCGCAGGAGTGCCGGCAGTCCGCGTCGTAGTAGGCGTCTCCCCGGTCCCTGCTGTAGTCGTTGCGCCTGTAGCTGCCGCAGTGTCGCCGGTCATACGCTCTCCGGTCAGAGGAACGGTCATCGTAGCTGCTGTTGGACAGTGAACAGCCATCAGGTGCATCGGTTCGGCCACATTCCGGGCCACACCCGTGACAAGGTCCCCCCTCCGTGAGGAAAGAGAGCTGCTGGAGGAATGGCTCCCAGACACCGACCAAGTCTGAGAGGACTGAGGACCAGAGAACTGAAGGAACGAGGCGCAGAGGAGGAATCACCAGCTGCATGTCACCAAGACATCTCAAATGGAATGATTTAATGGAACAAAGCCATAAGCCTTCCCTACATCCAGCTCTGCTCCCAATGACCCCTAACCCACCCCTTCACCGAACACACCGCTAGGTTATTAAAACCAGACAAACCTAACTGTCTTGTCTATCGGCTCACTAGCTACTTCCAGCCCCTAGTCTTTGCATGTGGTTTCCCTTCATCTGGGACACGTCACCCTTATGTTTCAGAGGAGCTGAGATGTCACACACTCTGGGAAATTCTCCTTGAACTACACATCCCGTCCTAGTCCAACCAAACGTGCTAGGTGCTTCCTCAGCCCTCCTGGTATCACAGCGCAAATGCCTCATTTTGTCATCCATCTTGAGCATCGCCACCCAGGGGCTCGGCATGTAACCATAAATCTTTGTTAAATGAACGAATGAGGGAGCGATCTTGAGTGCAAGGTCTCACCTCCGGGAACGAACGTGGTAGCTGTCTTCCCGCCGATGCCTCCGTGTGCGGTCACTGCTACTTGACCAGGATCGGCTTCTTCGCCTCTTATGCTTTCGGCTTCGATAGTGCTCATGGTAACTCCCCCGGCTGCCTCGTTCTGAGGAGTGGTACCTTCGGGGATGAGGCATCTGGAAGAGAAGGCAAAGCAGAAATAGTGGGGCAGTTCCCTGCAAGGACTGGATGTCACCGAGGTGCCCAGCTGCTTTCTTCTCTTTGACTTCTCTCTCTTTTGACCACCACTGTGCTTAAACCTCCTCCTTCGTGGAGCGTAACAGTAGCCACTTACTGACACTGGTTGAAAACTCTAGAAAGCCTTCCCTAGTCTCTCGATCTCTCAAATACGCCTCCCTTGGCACTCTGCACTCCTCCAATTTTCCACAAACACGGTTCCATACAGCCTTCCGGTCTGGGCCACAGCTCAGTACAGGCGAGATGGTGTAACTGACGGGAGGCTGCTGAGCTCCTCCCGGGCTGAGAGCTAAGACAGACCTGTGTCATGCTGAGGACCTCACAACGCAGCAGATGAAAGCTTTGGTGGACTCTGTCACGATACACGCTGACAGTTATTCCGAGTGTCGCCCATCTGTGTGCTGAGGGCAGGAAGCCCATTTGCCGGGTCTCCACACCCAGCAATGCACACGAAATATAAACAAGTGCCAGGGACCTGGGCTAGCTCCTTGAACTGCCTTCATTCCTGCACCTCTGGCCAAACACCCCTTGAGAGGTTTTAATACAGGAGGCCCCGAGCTGCAGTCAGCGTCCCATCTGGCTTCTCCCCTTTGGGCTTGGGAAGTACAGAATAACTGCTTTTTCATTAACATCAGCACTGCTTGTCTAGGAGCCAGTTCCCTTCCAGTTGTTAGAACTGGAATGGCATGGTGCACCAGTCCTTTTTTCCTCCAGGGAAAGAATCAGAAATCAGTCACAACCAGGAAGAGGAGGCCAGGAGGGCACAATGAAATGAACAGGCCTAAGGGCAGAAGTCTGGGGGAGGAGATTAGGTGTGAAAAGGCCAATGACTCCACAATCTGGCTCCCGCTGGAGGCTCGCTCTGCACCCTGTCTTCAGGTTCAGAAGGGGGCCTGTTAGTTTGTTCCTGGCTGAACAGGGCTCAGAGAGCGCCTAGAAGATAGAAGCGCGGTATACCTGCAGGTAACCCAGCATTGCTCAGCCTCGCCGGTGTCTCCCCACCCCCCGGAGGCTGCCACCCAAGTTCCCCCACAGTCCCCTCCAACCAAGCAACTCCAGCCTACAACCTTCACCAAACTGGTGCAGCTTCGTGTTCCCTTCCTCAGATGATCCAGCTCTACTTTCCGGAGCCAAAGGCTCTCCGTACCCTCCAAGCGACACGGCGGTGTCTCCTCTCTCCAGCCTCGGTGCAGCTCTGACATCTCGGCCCGGGAACCGCTCCCCTCCCCGCTCCATCGCTCCATCACCGTCTCCTACTTGGGTGGCTCCCAAGTTTCCTACAGGTCTCCCAGGTGCGCCCCGGCGGCTGCCTTCCCTCCGCGCTGCGCGCCCCACCTCGGCCACTTCGCAGGTCGCGACCCTCTCTCCCCTCCGCTCCCCTCGCCCCGGCCCCGCGCCCCCAGCACCCCCACCCCGCCCGCCCCGCGGCCGCCATCTTCCCGCGCGGCCCCGCGGCCCCGCCGGCCCGCGCGCTCACCGTTCTGGCGGCGAGGCCCGTGCGCTTGTCCCACAGGAAGTCCGTGATGGCGGCGGCGACGCGGCCGGGAGTCCCGGCACCCCCGCGGCGACGAAGTGCGGCTCCACCCCCCACCCCGAGACCCCGGGACCTCCCGCCCGGCTCCCGGGCTCTGCGCCAGCCCCGCCCGCCCCGGCTCCGTCCCCGCCCCGAGGATCCGCTGGGGGGCCGCTCGCACCGCCCCCGCCCGGGGCCCGGTCCCCGCTGGGTCTCCGGCTCCGGCCGCTCCGATCCGCCGCCGCCGCCGCCGCCGCCGGGAGCGAGCACGTACGCACGCACGTTCGGCGTCGCTTCCCAGTGACCCCGGGGCCCCGCCCCCGGCGCCGCGCACGCCGCCGCCGCGCCCTCGCCCAGCTCGCGGGCGGCCCCGGCCCGAGTGCAGGGTGCGCCCGGGCGGAGGGCGCTGGGCGGCACCGGGCGGCACCGGGCCCGCTCCTCTGCGCTCGCGTCCTTCCCTATCCTTCCCCCGTCTCTCGCCCCTTTTAGGAGACCTCGCTGGCTTAGTCAGGTTTGGAGATTTTTAAAAGAAAGGGCTGGTATTTAGGGAGTGTCTCCGCTCCGAAAACCTAGCTTTAGGCTTGGTGGTGAGGTCTGCTTCTCCAGCATATCCTGAAAATACCCAGTGCTTAAAGCAGCTCGGCTACCTAACCCCAGCAAAGAGAGACACCCCCCCCCACACACACACACACCTTTTGTCCTAAACACAGACTCTGCACGTGTGGATTCAGCCAGTCGGGAGCATGGCTGGGAGGGAAAGGTTTGAGCAATGCAGGGATGGAGACCCGGGTGCAGAAAAAGGCGCAATCACTTTGGACCCGTATATTATGTGCTTACACATAATAGGAGTGTACGCTTACTGAATTGAAAAGATCAAAGAGGAGGGGACCTTGAGACAAACTGGGCAGTTACAGGCGCTATAGAAGGAACTAAGAAATAGAAAGGGAAGTGAAAAAAAAAATCTGAGGATAATTACATTAAAGTCGGACTATCAGAGGGGAGTTCGGATGGAGGACTGTCAGATGGAGATTAGATCAGTTAGCCAGAAATGGTTTAGGAAAAGTTCCCTCACATAGAAGAGGAAGGGTAATGCGGGGCTAAGAAGACAGAATGGCAAATTCACTTCCTCCTCCAAAAGCACTTTCCCGGATGGTCGTTCATTCAACAAGCATTTACTGCGTGTCCATTATGTGTCCAGCACTGTGCCAGGTTCTTCAGGGCTTCACGGTCTAACGGGAGGAAAAGACCTGTAAAGAGATCATGGCAGCCTTGTGACAAGAATGGTGATGAACAGTGGTGCCCCGGACACTAGACTAGACCCGTCCTGGGGAAAGGAGATTTGGAAATGTGTCTCTAGGTTTCCGAGAGGAGATGAGCATCCTCAGCATCCATGCAGTGATGGGCAGAGTCGCATTTGGGGAAGGTTAACAGAAAAAAAATCAGAAAGTAAAATAGTAGGGTGATGCCAAAGCCGGTTTGGCTCAATGGATAGAGCGTCGGCTTGGGGACTGAAAGGTCCCGGGTTCGATTCCGGTCAAAGGGCATGTACCTTGGTTGCGGGCATATCCCCAGTGGGGGGTGTGCAAGAGGCAGCTGATCAATGACTCTCTCTCTCATCGATGTTTCTAACTCTCTATCTCTCTCCCTTCTCTCTGTACAAAATCAATAAAAATATATTTTAAAAAAATACCAGGGTGAGCAAAGGAATATGCCTAAGAGAGTGCTGAGAGAAAGAAAGTGGAATACCGGAAGTTCATGAGCAAGAGTAGGGAAGACGACTATCAAAAGCCATTCCCCACCTCTCCCATTGGTCCCCAATGCCTCGCCCTCCTCGGTCTCATCAGCTACAACGCCCATCCGGTTTTCCCGCCGCTCGCAGGCGGCTCCACCTCCCTGGCGCTCAGTGAATAAAAGCCCAGCTCTAGGCCACGCCCTCCCCGGGGCCCCAGCCGCCTTTTCCGTTCTCCCTTCTCCTCCTACACTCGAAGGGCCGCCCCTATCCGCCAAGCCACGCCCACCCGGAGTCCCTCTGGGATCCCGGCGCTGCTGGCCCCGCCCCCTCCGGGATGGCGCTCGGAGGCCCCGCCCACGCCCGCCCTGCCCGGCGTTCCCGCGGACGCCGCCAGGGGGCGCAGCGCACCGGCCCGCCGCCGGCGGGAGCGTGTCCCCCACACCCCTCTGCCCTGGGCGCCGGCGATTCCCAGCCCGCTACGCCTCCGCTGGGAGCCCGCGGGGCCGCGCCGGCCCGCCTCTGGGAGGGCCCGGGGGGTCCCCCATGGCCGCGGCAGGAACTCGGAGACCAAGGGTGTAAGCTGCGGGCGCCATGGAGGCGGAGCCGCGGCCGACGACGGGGCCCGGCGACCGGGCGACCCCTGGGCTGGAGGCGACGCCTCCCGCTGCCCCGGCCCCCGCCGCGGCCGCCCCCTCGGGTCAGATCCCCGGGTCCACGTTCGGACCCGAGCCCAAGAGGAGGCAGTTCGGGACGCTGCTCCAGCCCGCGGTCAACAAGTTCTCCCTTCGCGTGTTCGGCAGCCACAAAGCTGTGGAAATCGAGCAGGAGCGGGTCAAGTCCGCGGGGGCCTGGATCATCCACCCCTACAGCGACTTCCGGTACTGGGGGCCCGGCAGGGGCGCGGGGGGTGGACCCCGATCCCATTTCCACTGCGGAGACACGGGGATCGGACCCGCCCCGCTCTCCACGGCCGTTTCAGCCCCAGCCCAGGGATCCCGGGTGGGGCGAGAGTCACTCCCACCGGCCTCGCCTGGAATCCTCAGGGACTTCTCAGGCTGGGGCCGCCGGAAGAGAAGCGGAGACCTGGATTGCCCGTTTCAGGACCCCGGCACCCCACCTGGACCACAGGGACTCCTGGAGTTAGGGGTCCTTGCCTCCTCCAGGACTGCTTGCTGGTGATCTGGGCAATTATGTCATATTCCAAGACTCAAGGCCAGCCTGAGAGACAAACCAAGCTCCGCTATCTTTCCCCCGCCCCTCACTCCCACCCCCTGCACCTGCTTAGTTCGGCAGGGCAGGCGACCAGGGAAAATGGGGATTCTGGGGGGATGGTGGCGGGGGGCGGGGGTGTGGGGGGTATGGGGGGGATTCTGACAGCAGTCCGGGTAGCTGTCCCTGGTGCTGAAGGCGGGATTCGGTGGAGCAGGGCTGGGACTCAGCGTCTGAGGCTGCAACACCAGGGCAAGGCTACCACCGGAGAGAAAGGACGGATGAAGGGTGGGGAGGAGCCATTTCGTAGTCCCCATCTGGCTGTACCTTTACATCAAGGGCGCTAGGGGAGGAGAGCTGCCCTGTCCTTGAGGGAAATGAAGGACAGCGGTTGGATGAGGTGGGATGTGTGCAAAACATACCGAACCTAGGGAGTGAAATGAGTTGAAGGGATGAGGTGTGCATCAGGAGACTGGAAACACGATCGGAGATTTGGACATCATCTTGAACCCACATTCACATACATTCCCTAAATGCTCCTTTCTCCTGTTTCCGCTACTCCCATCTTCTTTACTATCTCATTCCCACCCACCATGCGCCTTTCCCACTCTCCTAGTTTGCTAGATCTGTGGATCTCCCCCCCCTTCCCCCATTTCACCCTCAGATGTATCCCCAGGAGCCGTGTCTCCCCCTTATTATTGTGCATTCCTCTGAACTCTCTATCACCCGCCAGGCTTGTGACTGACTGCCTGTGAGTCAGGCAGTGAGGTTGCTCTATGGCTAGGAAAACCCTCTTTCTCTCTCCTCTCCCACTTCACGGTAAAGGATTTCTCTTGTAGCCCAGGAGGAAGAGGAAGAGGATTGGTTGTTGGTGGACCGAAGGTTCACAGGTTCAGTTGGATTCCCGTCAAAGGCACATAACCTCAGTTGCAGGCTCCCTACCCCCACATGTGTGGGAGGCAACCAATTGATGTGTTTCTCCCTGTTCATTCTCTCTAGAAACTCAATGGAAAAAATATCCCTGGGTGAGGATTAAATAAATAAATAATTTTGGGGGGTGTGAGAGTCATTCATATTGCAGAAAGTGGCTGCAGTTGGATGAGTCCACAGTTGTATAGCATTACAGGGCATAACTATATTCTATTTTTCTACTGATGGACATCCAGGTTGTTTCCAAACTTAAAGCTGATAATATTTTTTTTTCAAGTGTCTATATGGTATTGCCGGGAATGCAAATATCTGACTTTACTATTAATAGATAATGGCAAACTATTTTCCTAAATGGTGGTTCCAGTTTACCCTCCCATGAGCTGTAAATAGTTATCCCTTTTTCCGTGTCCTTGTCCACTCTTGTCCGGGTCAGGTGACCTGCTGTCAATCTGGATGGCTGATGCAATATCCTTGTGGTCCCACTCCCTATCCCACCCCGCCTCAGGTTTTACTGGGACCTGGTCATGCTCCTGCTGATGGTGGGGAACCTCATTGTGCTGCCCGTGGGCATCACCTTCTTCAAGGAGGAGAACTCCCCGCCATGGATCGCCTTCAATGTCCTCTCCGACACCTTTTTCCTGCTGGACCTGGCGCTCAACTTCCGCACGGGCATTGTGGTGGAGGAAGGCGCCGAGATCCTGCTGGCCCCGCAGGCCATCCGCACGCGCTACCTGCGCACCTGGTTCCTGGTGGACCTCATCTCCTCGATCCCCGTGGACTACATCTTCCTGGTGGTGGAGCTGGAGCCACGCCTGGACGCCGAGGTCTACAAAACAGCGCGGGCCCTCCGCATCGTGCGCTTCACCAAGATCCTCAGCCTCCTGCGGCTGCTCCGCCTCTCCCGCCTCATCCGCTACATACACCAGTGGGAGGAGGTGGGGCGGGGCGGTGGGCGGGGGGGGGTGGGGTGTCACAGACTTCTCCGAGATAGTGGTGTGGGGGAGAGGGGGACTCCTGGCGACTTTATGGGGTGGGCAGATGTGTGGGTGGAGTTTCCGAGGTTGGCTCTCTCCGAACTTGGTGAGGGAAAAGCAGGATCAGAATGTGGGTTCAGGGGATGGGGTCCCTGAGATGAGGATGGTGGTACAACTGCCAGACAAATGCCTAAGGGTTATTTGGACTCTGGGAGGAAGATGTCGGAGGAGAGCTAGTGATGACAGGGTGGGAAGAGGCTGGGGTGTCAGCCTCGGGGCAGCAGAATTTAGTGGTTCATTCCAGGTGCGGACTGTGCAATCTCATTGCTTGAGGTCAGACACCAGTTTTACCATTGACTATAGATGAGGCTTGGTTTTCTCTCCTATAAAATGAGAACGTTAAGGATACTCACGCGTGATAAGGTTATAGGATTAAAGAGTTAACAGTTGTAAAGCACTTAGAATGGTGCCGGCATGTACCGTAGCACGTGCTTGGCAAATCACCTATCGTTATTGGAGAGGGAGAGGGCTGCTGGAATCCATTCTGATACACATGCCCTGTGACATTATGAAATGCCCTCCCTCCTCTCTTCCAGGCTACACCGAGGTAGCTTGGGCAGCTCACCTCTGGGGTGACACTGCGTGACTCTGGGCACATGATTGGCAGCAGCTTTCCTATCTATAAGATGAGCGTAGTGACACAGCCTACTTTGTATTCGCTAGATCTGTGTGCTGTAAAGCTCTGTCCACATAATAACCACATTTTTTTTTTTAAGCTCATGGGGCCGGGGCTAGAGAGAGACGTTCAAAGAGGGAATTTGCAAGGCTGGGGATGGAGGAGATAGATGGTCAGGAAGGGTCCCCGTCCACAGTGGCCCCTCCTCGGAATCCTCAGATCTTTCACATGACCTATGACCTGGCCAGTGCTGTGGTTCGCATCTTCAACCTCATCGGGATGATGCTGCTGCTCTGTCACTGGGACGGCTGCCTGCAGTTCCTGGTCCCCATGCTGCAGGACTTCCCTCCTGACTGCTGGGTCTTCATCAGCCGCATGGTGGTGAGACCCCCCACAGCTCTCCTCTCCCGGGCATTCTGAGGGCTCTCCCGTCTGAGCAGTGGGAGGACCACAGGGGGCAAGAGATGATGGAGAGACGACCGAGAGAGAAGGCAGGACGAGGAGGTGGGGAGGGGAGGTGAGGTGGGCAGAGACCCAGAGGAAGTGCTTGTGTGTTGGAGGGAGAAGACGGGGAAGGAAACATAGGCAGAAACTGACGTCCCTAAATGCAAAAAGAGGCCCCTTCTACCTCGGGGCTCCCCTGGACCAAACTTAGGTGCCTCCTAGGAGGCAGATGTGAAATGAATGGGGGAGGCAGAAGGACTAAAAGAGAGAGAAAAGGGTCAGGAGGAGAATGAGGCTCTGAGGGCCCTCTGTCCACCGCTGCAATACTTTGTTCCCCAGAACCACTCGTGGGGCCGCCAGTACTCCCATGCCCTGTTCAAGGCCATGAGCCACATGCTGTGCATTGGCTACGGGCAGCAGGCACCAGTGGGCATGCCTGACGTCTGGCTCACCATGCTCAGCATGATTGTGGGCGCCACCTGCTACGCGATGTTCATCGGCCACGCCACCGCCCTCATCCAGTCCCTGGACTCCTCCCGGCGGCAGTACCAGGAGAAGGTCAGCAGGGACAGGAGAAGGGAGGGGCGGGCGGGAAGGGGTGCTGGGGGCTGGGTAGCTGACACATACTCCTGTGGTTCTCTGTGTCCATGTCCATGTGTCTCGTGCCCCTGTGTGTACCTTTTCCTTGTTGGTACCTATACCCCTGACCTTGGACGCCTCCCCTGCCTGTGTCTGATTTGTCCCTCTGTGGCCTTGTGTTCTCCCTCTACCTCCTTGCCTCACTTCCCTGGATTTGGTCCACGTTTGCGACCTTCCTCCACACACACCTGCCTCCACTGTTCCGGCCCCACGCCTGTCTCTGTCCTCTTTCCTGCCGGCCATCGGCTGGCCCTCCAGTACAAGCAGGTGGAGCAGTACATGTCCTTCCACAAGCTGCCGGCTGACATGCGGCAGCGCATCCATGAGTACTATGAGCACCGCTACCAGGGCAAGATGTTCGATGAGGAGAGCATCCTGGGCGAGCTGAGCGAGCCACTCCGGGAGGTAGGGCTGGGCACGGCCTGGGCTTCCAGGATGGCACCTGGGGAAAGGGCTGTCGGTTAGCAGAGGGCCCCATGGAAGCCAGGCCTTGGGAGGGGGGGGCGGTGCTGTCAGGGGCTAAAGTCTTTCTTGAAGTTCACATGGGGGAGAAGTGTACGTGGGTGGGGAGGGCAGGGCTCTCTGTTTGGGAGGATGCTCCTTTGAGGGCTCCTGGGAGAGCCCTGAGGGCAGGAGCTTAGGGATGGTCCCTGGCCCACGGAAGCATCCTCATTCTTGCAGATCCTGACCCAGGGGTGGGGCCTCTGGAGACAGATGAGCTGGATGGGGGCACCTTGGGGCAGGGGGGCACAGAGTGCCTGACAGGCCCCTCCCCCTCCCAGGAGATCATCAACTTCACCTGCAGGGGCCTGGTGGCCCACATGCCGCTGTTCACCCACGCGGATCCCAGCTTCGTCACCGCGGTGCTCACCAAGCTGCGCTTCGAGGTCTTCCAGCCGGGGGACCTGGTGGTGCGCGAGGGCTCCGTGGGCAGGAAGATGTACTTCATCCAGCACGGGCTGCTCAGCGTGCTGGCCCGCGGCGCCCAGGACACCCGCCTCACCGACGGATCCTACTTTGGGGGTCAGCGGGCCTCAGGGAGGGTGGGGGGAGTAGAGCGGAGAATGGAGGGCACCTGCTCCCCTGGACCCCAGTCCCTGCCTGGCCATGCTGCAGAGTCACAGAGCCAGCCCCTCCCCAGCCGACCTCCTTTGTCAAAATCTCTGAGCCCGGAACTCTGTGTTTTCAAGAAGCTTTTGAAGAGATTCCGATGCAATGCCAGGTTGAACATTTCTGGGCCTTTTAGAATCTATCATTGGTGAGACCCGAAGATCCTCTGGGATAAGGGGCAGCAGGAAAAGCAGTGCCGTCCCACAGGCTTCTCTGGGTGGCTCCCTGCTGGTGTGCCCCAGGGGCCCAGCCTGTGGCAGTGCAGGTAGTTCTGCCAGCGGGTGCCCACCGTGACTTAAAGCTCATGTAACCTCTCAGTCTGCAAACCACCCTCCAGCGTTCCTAGCGCGTTGCCCTTTGCCCTTTGGCCCTGTTCCTCGCTGCCTGGGCTCTCCTGGGTGTTTCCATAAAGCGGTGGGGCGGGGTAAGAATTAAAGTGGAATTCCTACAGGTGGGGGCCAGCAAGGCCTGCCTGGTTGTCAGCTTTAGTTGGAGAGAGTGAGGCCGATAATTGTGTAGGTGTGAAGAGTGACAGTGCTTGGAGCACGTAGGGGCCGGAGGCAGCGGGGTCAGCTGCTGCAGGCCCATGAGAACGAGCTCTGGGCACTGGTTCTGAACCCGCAGAGATCTGCCTGCTGACGCGGGGCCGGCGCACAGCCAGCGTGCGGGCCGACACCTACTGCCGCCTCTACTCGCTCAGCGTGGACCACTTCAACGCCGTGCTCGAGGAGTTCCCCATGATGCGCCGGGCCTTCGAGACCGTGGCCATGGACCGGCTGTGCCGCATCGGTGAGGCCTGTCCCCGAGCCTTCTCTCGGTCCAGCTTGGGCCCTTACCCATCTGCATAGTAAGAAGCCCCATTGTCCCAGGCCCAGCCTTTAGTGCTCCAGTGTCACACCCCAGACCCCTGCCCCCTCCCCGGCACGCACGCGACCCTCCCCCCACCCCCCATCCCAGAAAATGCCCCCATAGGCCTTTCAACACCGTGGCCCACGGTCCTGGTCACTCAGCATCTCCTGCCCTCGGGGATATCGCCCTAAGCTCCCATCCCGGGGCCTGCTGCCTGAGTCCCTGACCCTCACCCTCTCTGACTCATGCTCTCATCGCTTGACCCTTCTCTCCACCCTGACATTTGACCTTTATCTTGGGTTCCCTCCCTCTGCTTCCCTCCTCTCGCCGGGACGACCTCTAGGTAAGAATTCTGTTCTGCGGAGGAAACGCTCCGGGCCCAGTCCGGGCAGCAGTGGGGGCATCATGGAGCAGCACTTGGTGCAACACGACAGGGACATGGCTCGGGGTGTGCAAGGCCTGGCCCCGGGCACAGGAGCCCGGCTCAGCGGGAAACCGGTGCTGTGGGAGCCACTGGTGCATGCGCCTCTGCAGGCCGCCGCCGTGACCTCCAGCGTGGCCATCGCCCTGACTCACCAGCGGCAGCCCCTGCTCCTCTCCCCCGACTCTCCAGCCACCCTCCTTGCTCGCTCGTCAGGCTCCCCAGCCTCCCCGCTGGTGCCTGTTCGAGCTGGCCCTCTGCTGGCCCGGGGGCCGTGGGCATCCACCTCCCGCCTGCCCGCCCCACCGGCCCGAACCCTCCAAACCAGCCTGTCCCAGGCCGGGCGCTCCCAGGTGTCCCTGCTGGGCCCTCCCCCAGGGGGAGGTGGGCGCCGCCTAGGACCTTGGGGCCGCCCGCTCTCAGCATCCCAACCCTCCCTGCCTCAGCGGGCGACGGGCGATGGCTCTCAAGGGCGGAAGGGCTCAGGGAGTGAACGCCTGGCCCCCTCAGGGCTCCTGGCCAAGCCTCCAGGGATAGCCCAGCTCCCCAGGCCACCAGTGCCTGAGCCAGCCACCCCGAGGGGCCCCCAGCTCTCTGCCAACATGTGAACCCCCTAGGTAGCTCTCAGGTGCAGCAGTGAGTGCCTGAAGGCAGACAACTCTTGGGGAAGGCCAAGAGGACCCGGAACACTGCCCGACGGGAATATCTCCCCTTAGTGCCAAAAGATAGTTTCTATCCTCAGCTCAGGCACCCTGCGGCCTCCTAATCCATTCGCCATTCATCAGACGTACTGAGCCCAGCCTACCGTGTACACGGCACTGTGTCTCCACTGCCAAGTAGAAGTGACTCCAAGCCTTAGGTGGAGGTGATCCCCCGCCATGGTCCTGCCAGGTGCAGGCCCAGGCCCATGAGCCCACCTGATTAAGCACAAGTACTTGCCCAGGCCATCACTGCCAAGTAACCAGATGTCTGTCTCTCTGTCCGTGACCCTGCAGGGCCTGCCTGGAGGGTTATCCTCCTGTCCTCCTAGCATAGCTGGCCGATCGCTTGTGTTCCCTGCTGTCAACAAACGTTTTGGGTCACCAGTTGGGCATCCACCCTCACTGCCATGTGCAGGGCCCTCCTATCTATACCCGTGGGTGGGAACACGTCTCCTGCCGAGTTCCCCGCACTGTCTCCGGTAGAACTGTCTCTTTGTAAAGGGGGCCACCCCTCCCTGTGTCCCTGCCCCACCGGTGTCCCCCTTGAAGCTAAGGATGTCCGGCACCTCCTTATTTAGTGCACCAGCCTAGATCCCCCAGGTGAGGGGGAAGTGGCTGAATCCTTAGATGGCACTTTTTCTTTCCTTCTTCCCTTATTTATTCAATTATTTAATAATTATATTTATTCATTTGCTAATTTTATTTATTATCAATTCATTTTATTCACCCATTTCTTTGTCTATCCCTCCCCCTCCTCCTGGGAGGGAGACAGGAAGGGGCAGCCCCTCCACCCCCCACCGCCAGTTCCCGTGGTCCTTGTCCAACTCCCTCAGCAGCAATACCAAACACTCCCTATCTAGGCCGGGGCACAAGGGCCACCTGAGGTGACTGTTCCTTTTAGGTTTTTGTTTTTTATCCCTACTGAGTCTGCTGTTGGTACAGGAGTAAGGGGAGGACCCGAGGGATCTGAGCCTGGGGAAGGGCAGTCTAGCCAGCACTTCTGCCTTCTCAGGGACAAGAGAAATCCCTCACCCCACCCGTGTCTCCATGCCTATTTTACAGCACGAAGAATGTGGGGCCACGGCCCCAATTGTCTCTCCTGTGTAAGGAGTTCTGGGCTTCTGGGTATGTGGGAGTTTTATAATTGCTTCAAAACAGCTGGATTTAAAAAAGAAAATAGAGACACTCGGTTTGGCTCCTTGTTTGTGTGTGGAAACAAAGTGGGTATGAAGGAATTCCTTGGTGCAGAAGGGAACTTGCCCAGCAAGGCGTGAGATGGCCCTGGGAGCAGCCAGGCCGTGGTCTGCAATCCCAGCGGGGTGCTGAAGTCAGTGGTGGGTGTGCTCCCCAGCATCCCGTACCTAGGCTTCCCCCAAGAGTGGGGCTTTGATGTTACTGTTAGTTACCAGGAAGGAAGAGGGGGCACTCTCCTCAGGAGATAAGCAGATGGCCATAAAGGCCACATATGAGAACAACAGTCTGCATGGATGTGAAATGTTTCTAAAATGGATGTGATTGCTCTGGTCCCCTCTCCTCTGCCTCCAGGTGTGGGAAGCCTGGGGGAATATAATACAATTAACCGGTTATGCTGGGATTAAAGTCTCTGAGCATCTTAGGGTCCAGCTCAGAGCACTGGGTGCAGGCATTGTACGATTGGTGCTTCCGGATGGCCAGTGCTTAATTGGACATTTTTAGGGCCTGCGTGAAATGGGGAGGCGGAAGGGGCATCCTGGAATGGGGCAGATGGCAGATGTGGCCTCAGGCAGGGAGGACGGGAGTAGAGAGGAGACAGATGAAGAGTGTGGGGGGCATGGAGTGGGGGAAATGGGGAGGAAGGATGGGGTCCAGAGCCGGCTGGGTCAGAGGGGGAAGGGCCTCTCAGGATATGTTTATCACTCGCATGATGTTGGTATAGCCAGACCCCGGTCGCCAGCCTGTCACCACAATCACCAGGTCCCCAACATGGAGGAAGCCACGGAGCTTTCCTGGGGGAAGGGAAGATGACAATCAGACACTGAGGGCCCGGGTCAGCCCTGTCATGAGAGCTAGCCACCACCTTCTCCCTCAAGGCCAGCCGGTAGGAATGAGAGGCCTGAGGCTAAACTACAATGTGGGCCTCAGGTAGCACCACAGAGATGACACCACTCCGCTATAATAGAATTGCAGGTGTGTCTGTGGGTGGTGTGGTGGGTGTTGCTAAGCAGCAAGTCTATCTACCCGTGTTGCTATGCCAACGGGAAGAGGTGGGGTGTGATTGTATCCAGTTCTAAATTAGACCGGGTCCCCTTTCTCCTGTCACCTCCTGCTTCTTAGATCCCACCAGGCTCTACCACATGATGCAGGCAGCAGCGGGTTAACTTGTTAGGGAAGGCCCTGATCTCTCTCCTCCCCCCCAGCAAGTCCATGGAGGCCAAAATATCTCTGAGTCTCAGTGAACCTCGCAGAGTAAATCTAGGCCTTTGTGTGGGTGTGGGAAGTGGGGTTGGGGGGAGGCTCACGACACAAACCCAGGCGTGGGTGGGAGGGAGTCTAGATGACTCACCGCTTTCAATGCCAAATTGAACCCGGCGATCCACATCCTCTGCCCAGATGGCCACTGGAGGTTCATGGTACAGCAAGGGGAAGACTCCTCGGCACAGGTGGGCCTGGCGGGCAGCCTGCGCGGAGCGGGTGACAGCAATGACTGCTGCCCGAGGTCGGTAGCGAGACAGCAGCTGGGCGGAGCTGAAGGAGGCAGAGAAGGTCAGCCCAGAGCAGTGAGAGCGCTAAGTCAGAAACTAGAGTTTGGGTTCTGGTTCCCGGTGTCACCAACAAGCTGTGTGACCCAAGCTGGGTAAGTCCTATTTCTCTGGGTCTTGGTTTTCCTCATCTGTAAAGTGGGTATAAGAATGCCTGCCCTTCTTCTTCTTTTTTTTTTTTTTTTTAAAAAATATATTTTATTGATTTTTTTTACAGAGAGGAAGGGAGAGATATAGAGAGCTAGAAACGTCAATGAGAGAGAAACATCAACCAGCTGCCTCTTGCACACCCCCTACTGGGGATGTGCCCGCAACTCAGGTACATGCCCTTGACCGGAATCGAACCTGGGACCTTTCAGTCCACAGACCAACGCTCTACCACTGAGCCAAACCGGTTTCTACTTTTTAAAAAATATATTTTATTGATTTTACACAGAGAGGAATTGAGAGGGATAGAGAGTTAGAAACGTCGATAAGAGAGAAACATCGACCAGGACATCCCCTACTGGGGATGTGCCCACAACCAAGGTACATGCCCCTGACCGGAATCGAACCCGGGACCTTTCAGTCTCCAGGCCGATGATCTATCCACTGAGCCAAACCGGTCTCAGCTGCCTGCCCTTCTTACCACACAAAGAAGATATGAAATAATAAAGGGTACATCAGCCGAAACTGGTTTGGCTCAATGGATAGAGCATCGGCTTGGGGACTGAAAGGTCCTGGGTTCGATTCCGGTCAACAGCATGTACCTTGGTTGTGGGCATATCCCCAGTAGGGGGTGTGCAAGAGGCAGCTGATCGATGACACTCTCTCAATGATGTTTCTAACTATCTCCCTTTCTCTCTGTACAAAATCAATAAAATATATATTTTTAAAAATAAATAAAAATAAAGGGTACATCAAATGAAATAGTTCAGAGAAAAACCTCTTTGAGAAACAAAACTCTTCTGAGAAGACACCCTTATAGTGTACAAGTAGTACTTAACTTACAAATGTCTCCGAGGAAACAGAGGCTTATGTGGTAGAGCGGGGTGACTTACCCAAGGTGCCATGTCAGAGCAAAGATTGACCTCAGACCGGGCCCAGCAGTGTAAGACTGTGGGCTCAACGCAAAACACTTGTTCCCAGCAAGTGTGGCTCAGCGGTTGAGCATCCACCCATGAACCAGAAGGTCACGGTTTGATTCTAAGTCAGGACATATGCCCGGAATGTAGGTTCAATCCCCAGTAAGGGGCGTGCAAGAGGCAACCAATCAATGATTCTCTCTCATCATTGATGTTTCTATCTCTCCCTTTCCCTCCCTCTCTGAATCGATAAAAATATATTTTAAAAATTATTTAAATGCAAAGGACTTGCTTCTGAGTCGTAGGAGCCCAAAGGGTCTGGAAACCAATGCTCCAGAAGGCCACCTCCCCTCCATCGCCTGGAGCTCCCTGGCACCTATCCTGGTGAGCTCCAAGAGCCTTCCCCGGCCTCCAGCTCTCATAACTACCCCTCCTCCTCTTGCCCCAGCATGACACTCCTCACCTCTGATGGCCAGACAAAACCCCAGCCTGTGGCCCCTGACCCAAAGGCTTGTGTGGCACCCCGTGGCCCCTCACCGGCCGGTTTTGGTCAGCACGATGATGGCAGCAGCACAGCACTTGAAGGAAGCCTCCACCGCGCCAATGGCAGTGACTTCGGTGGGGTCGCGGGTCAGGGGTGCGGCCCGGCGCAGCTCCTCGAACAGCTGCCGGTGGTACACCGCGGCTTCTGCCTCCCTGGCAATCTGCGGGCACCAGGAGGTCAGGCTGGACGGGGGCACCGGCCTGGCAGGCATCTGGCTGTCCGGCCCACCTCCTCGCATCACGGGCTCTTACCGCGTGCTGCATCATCACGGCCTCCACCGGGAAGCTGCCCTTGGCCGTCTCGCCCGACAGCATGATGCAGTCTGCGCCGTCCAGCACGGCGTTGGCCACGTCGCTCGTCTCTGCCCGCGTGGGCCGGGGCTTACTGATCATGCTCTCCAGCATCTGGGGGACATCTGGATGTCAGAGCTGCAGGAGTCACACTCTGACATCCATATCCTCAGCTTGCCCTGAAGGCCAGGGTCACCTATGACAGTGCCATCCTGGCAGGTTGGTGTCCTTATCTGAGAAGGGGGTCACGTATCTCGTCCTGACTTCATTG